ATGGGGAAATTAATTGTGTTATGATTGAGCGCGCCTCACTAAAACTTTGACATTGCCACCCCAAGCCTAGGAGAACAGTCATCTCATGTCAAGCGTGGTGTGAAAAGCTACTGACAACTGTACTTATACGAAGTTTTGGAGGGATACACTGAAATTTATGAATTCAGATGATAAATCAGTAACATGCAACAATTCAAGTCATATTATTCCCAGTAACATCCGTTAGTTGATCTCTTTCTATTGACATGATCTATTGAACATGGAATTTCAATGTCAATGACCATTGACCCCTCAGGTCACACTAATCTCATATCTGGCCTTGGATGCTAGCAAAACAGTTTCAGACCAGTGCGGTTTCACTTAAAAGGGATATCCTGGAATTGAAATTTATAAGGCATCATTGAACATGACAAACTTTGTCAGATGGCGGAACAGATACAACGAAGGGCTGTCTATCGGATTGTCCTCTATCCTGGACAGCTACCTTGACTGAGATTATAATAGCAGGTTTGCCAGCAAAAGTACCCACTAGGTAAATAAATCAAATTACCATTAACACTGGAGAAATGGCAATGAGCGTACTATTGATTACACCAGTCTTTGCCGAGCCATCAATTTAGTTTGAAATTAGCACCATTCTCCATTGGACGGTTCCCATTAGCTTGTTAAAGTTACTGCTCTTGCCTTTTTTTTAATTTAGTCTGAATGGGTGAATGGGCAGAGTTGAGAAATCAGAGCTCGCACTAAGCATAGCTTGTTGTGCTGAACTCGGCCTGCCAACCGACCGCGCAATTCCAGTTGCATAGCATAAAATTGTCAGAAAGTTTAACCTGTCCTCAAGACTGGAAGTGGACACAGTCCCCGCTTGATTTGATATAACCATTTCTCATTGCTGATGTTCCCACTCGAATAATTGGATATCACATTTGCCAAAATTTGTATACCTTCAACAACATAGCAATCGGTAAACCGAGCTTCCTTAAATTAGAACACCACAAGTCGATTGCCAATTGCAAGTTAATAAATCATCTGGTCGAGTATGTCAATAAAATCTGCATTATAAAATTGACTCTCATAAATCGGTTCAGTAAGATAACAGGAAATCACATGAATTGGATTGTTTTTAAATCGAAATGCAAAATTGAGACTAATCCGGCGCACCAGGGATGCGGAGCCGGAGCCGGAGTCGGAGCCGGAGCCGCCGGAGCCGGCATATTTTGCCCGGAGCCGGAGCCGGAGCCGGAGCCGTGAAACAATATAGCCCGGAGCCGGAGCCGGAGCCGGAGCCGCCAAAAAAGGGGGCGACTCCGGCTCCTTTTTATTTTTTGAAGAGGAAAAAAATAATTGACCTAGTTCGGTTTGACAGTACAAGGCAGTAAAACATATGGTACTTACGTCATGGGCCATCAAGTGAATGAAAAAATCCGAATATCCCCAGTATCCCACAGTACGCAAACAACTTCCTGTTTGCTCTTCCCCCCCCCCCCCCCACGTCTACTGCATCCCCAGAACATGAGGACCAGTCATCAGGTGACGGCCATTGTTTTCAAACCAGTGCAGTGGACTGCGACTCCCAGCACCGTCTCATCCCACCCCCCCCCCCCCCACCCCTCACCCCCCAATGCAGCCGAGACGGGTGTCAGCTTACGATGGTTCACTGAACTCCGATTCGCGGCGACTGCGTTTCCAATGCCATCGCTTCCTAGCCCTTTGTTCTGCCAGTTCTCTCCGAGGTGCGTTTGCGCGGGGACGCGGTGAGCCGGTCATGGCAAAGAGTAACGCGTATAACCAATCCAATTTTTCTTCCACCCGTATTTAATTGATTGCGTAGGGGATGTACTGAGTCGGAGCCGGAGCCGCCGGAGCCGGAGCCGCCGGAGCCGGACCATTTTACTCGGAGCCGGAGCCGGAGCCGGAGCCGCCATAACATTTCACCCGGAGCCGGAACCGGAGCCGGAGCCGATTTTTTTCTCCGGAGCCGGAGCCGGAGCCGGAGCCGTCTGAAATTTCCACGGCTCCGCATCCCTGCGGCGCACTACCTTAGAGTTCCCTTGATGCAAATACTTACGACCCCAGAGAAATTTGCGACAGCGTGGCGAGGGACGCCAGTCAACAATCCACATAAAAATATTCATGATCACAAATGATTGGGCACTACCGAGAATTGCTTCATTGAAACCACGGGGAACACTCAAGAGAGTCAAGTTGAAATTCCGACCAAAAGTTGGCGTGTCCAAGGTTAGACGATGAGAAGTCAGGATGCACCAACCGCCGACGACACGAGCTTATGACGTCATTACTGATCAACAAGTGTAAACACAGTCTGTTTCCTGGAATATGACGTCACTGAGTGAATATAGCAAGCTACGGTGGAGACGTTTCGGCTGATAGGCGTAAATATCGTGTAGATGAAAGGAGTAGTAGATGGTCTGAGTATTTGGCGGCGCAGATTTCTCTATCCAATGATTTTTTTTTTGTGTTCATGTCGCGGGAAACAAATGACTCGTACCGCGCAGCGGTGCGCACATGGACTGAAGGGATTCTACGGATCAGACAGGTAAGGAGATACAGAAGGAGTGACTCTGAAGTGGTCGATAGATATTGAAACCGGAATTACACAAGGAGGAAAAGATCTAAGGATGGATGCTAGCCGAAGAGGAGGTATGTTGCAACACTTTCATGTGTTTTTGACTCTGCTGATACGTCTAAGTCTACTAGGATCGGAACTGTCTCACGTTACGGAAGAAGTAAGTATGTTAGGCAGATATCGGAACGAAGAACGCCATAAGACGCCCAAGCTGAGAGGTGGGTCAGAGAGAGACGGGGCGAGGGAGCACCCCGCCCAAGGTGAGTGACAAATACGAAGAAGATGATAGAATAATAAGGCGAGGAGTAATACCGCCGGGATGAGGTAAGTGATAAGTCCACCGTCGGAAAGATCGCAGCATACATCACTCATGACGCTAACGCGCTTGAAAACACATCTGCAGGACAGAATTCCACGGCGTCGGATAAAATTGCAGGATAGATTCAGTCATGGAGTCTTTCGAATCACACCGGTCAATGATTCAAAGGCGCCACTTGCGGGTGCCATGACTGCATGAGAGTACTGAGTAGGTGCCTGTCTATGAGCCCGGTGAGACTGCGGTCGTCGGGGTAGCAGGCTTGTGTCCACCGGTTCGTTGGGTGAAAACGCGTAAGACGGTCTCTCACAGAAGGGCTGCAAGGGTCAGTAACCAACGTCCGGCCGCGGGGTTTTAGTAGGGAAACAGAGATGTGCCGTGAGCGGCAGAGGTTGACGGACCAATCATAAGCCACCGAGGAACGCTAATAACTGACGCTACCCGCGTCGATCTTTAGACAAGTAATCGGGGTCAAATGATGTAGGTGTTCGAAGAGAGTGGGCCGGCAGAGATTGATTGAACCAATCACACCCATCGACGAACGCTAATAATGTAATCGCTACCTGCGTTGCACCTTTAGACAAGTAATCAGGGTCAAGTGATGTAGGTGTTCGAGGATATTGGGCCAGGGAGCCCAAGAGGTGCTAGGAAGAGCACACACAATTCCAATGTTGGAATGGGGCGCGATAAGTCGTTGGGAGGTAAGAGTAAGCTTAGATGAAATTTACACTAATCACGGAGTCTATTGAACAAATTGCGTTTATTGTCCCTGATATGTACCGCTGGAGGGAGTTAGAACAATTGCTGGGAGGGACTGAGAGGTCGACGCGGGATCAAATTTATTGTAGTGGGATGAGAGAGGTATGACAAAGAGAGTGAGTCTGAGGGTGGTTGAGGTATGCGTCATATAGTGTAAGGACCAGCGGGAGATCTAATCTCAGCATTGAGGGCGACATTAAATGGGGATGTACTCGATTATCTTTGGGATGATAGGCATTAGAAAGGGAGAGAATGGTGGGTAGCTATCAGGTATCAGATGGTGGCTTCAGGTTATGTCCTCAAGGGAGGCATCAAAATTATATGCTTTGGGGAGACATCCGTGTCCTAAATTCCTTATGAGACAGATACCATCCTAGGCAGTGAAGACTATATGTTGACAAGCGACAAGCCAGCCTCATTATAAATATTGTTTGTGACGAGCCCCAGGCGCAAGGAACGGTGGCGGAAAGGAATCGGTCAGCTTGAAACCAACGGACCGATCAGCAATTGGAAATGGGTGTGTAATTATGTTTGAACAAGAGAGAAATCAAACAGCAAGAAAATCAACTCATTAATCAACCATTTGAGGATCTACCGGCCGAAAACACTCACCTGAGGTTGTTCCAGAGCACGGCGCAGGTCGGCAACCATCTCGGCAAGAAAAACACCCCCAATGAGCGAAATTTTATTAAACAATATTTTTTTTGAAAACATACTCCCCACCGCTTCCGGACCCCCTGGGGGCATCATCACAACTGTTCATGTGCCTCTTAAAAATCGGTATCACCCTGCAAAAAAGTAACTATAAAAAAATAGTAAGCATGAGCCATGGCGCCTCCGGCTCCACTTATGCGTCATGAGCTGTGGAACGATTAGCTTACCGTTCCTGCTAAGCCGTAGCCAGAGTTGTTGACTGAATTTCGCAAATTCATCCAACTCGTGTCCCACGACGTAAAGGCTTACCGATCCTTAGCAGACGTTTCGTATGCCACTTGTGATGCATCCTGCGATAATTATCGACTGGTGTTTGCGACGTGGAAGTGAGTTGTAATTACGCCCTCGTTAGTATACAGACATGAAGGGCGCGATTAGAAGTCCTTGGACACTGGATGAGTCATATCGAGTGAAATGTCAACACATGTCATTATCAGGAACGGCTTGTTTGCATTTATGGCAAAGATATACCTAATAGCCATTTGTTCCTTGCTCTGAATGGTAGTGAGTTATTGGAACTGGGAATTTCGGTCCCTCCAACCAAAGGCTTTCGATAAAATTATGTTTGAAATCCAGTGCTGGATGCGGGGAATGGACACTGAGCTGTATGCTTAGGTCCCTTACCTTGATGACCTCTCGAGGCACCTTATATGCGTCCTTCTCGCCTGCAGTGGAAGATGCTGAAGGGGTCACGCAGGTTTATTAACGGTCTTTCTTCGTAAGTCACCGACTGAGATGAACAGAGTCACCGGTTGACGGGTCAGACAGCTTTTGGAGAGACCTCTTCATCCAGGCTGCCCGAAACACTTCCGGTTTGAGCCAAGCCGTGCCCCGTCCAAGAGCTCTCACGAACACACCAGCACTGTTTGTCTTTTCAAGACCCCGCTGGCCGTCTTTGTCTTGCTTCGCATAAAACTGGAGAAATCCCGTTCGACTTATAATCACACGTTCCGCTGCACTGCACACTGCATAGCCCGCCGGGGTCTAACCCGTTGACTCGGGCGTCCACTTCAGAACATCACTTTAGCTGTTCATTTCACCCAGTCACCTCCACCGTCCAGCGTCATAGGGACGGGCACGTGCGCGGCGCCAGCGGCTATGCCACAGGTGCCACCGGCGAGCCGCCTGGCCCGCGGCCACCGGCGCCCCTGGAGGCGGGCCAACCGGCCCAGTGCTCCCCGAAATAGCGACCCGGCCCGGCCCGGCCCGACCCGGCGGCACCGCGACCCGTGCCGGGGACATGAGCCGACAGTGATTGGTGCTGGCGCCGACAGCAGGTCGGCGGAGACGGGGGCGGCGATGACGGCCAGATAGTCGGACAGACGGGCTGACAGGCGGACGGACACACACAGGGACCGGAACAGAACAGACCGGAACAGAGCAGATCGGAACAGAACAGAACAGACCGGAACGGCCGGGCCGCCGCCAACGCCGTGCAGGTCGGAGCGGTGTGAGCACGCGAGCCGAGAGACGGTGGCGCTGTAAGGACAACGAAATGGGGACCTTGGTTCCGCGGACTGATCGGCCGTGTCTATTTCTTCATTTCCTGAGAGTCTAATTAACATGTTTTACCTGGGTTTGACTTGCACTAACGATCGTGGGTTTGATAAGCTGGGAATGGCTATTTGACTTTTGACCACTCTCCAATCCCCCCTGTATCCTGTGCCGCCCTGCCGCGCCGACCGCCGTCTGTGGCGGTCTGTTATTGTCCCACAGCGTGTGTTTACCGGGGTGTGTGTCCCAGGCCGCTGATCGGGTGACCCCTCCCGCGGGTGGCGCCGCCCACTCGGGATGAATTAATCTACCGCCGCCGCCCGCTCCATTGATTATCGGAGGCGCCAGAGAACACAGGTCCAGACATATGCATGCTGTGCGCGCCGGTATTTTATGCAGGAGCTTATTGCATCCTTACATCTTGAATGCTCACATTGGCATTGCTAAAAAGGGTGGATGGATAATGCCTAAACATGGGCTTTATAAATTTTTCAGTGAGTGCTGCTGAATGCATGTATTGCTGGGAATTCTTAAGCACATTATGACCAACTGGTAGGCGCTAACAATTTTTGACAATATGGCAGTGGTGTTTTATTATTTCGCCTATCATATCCTAATGCTTACCATTTCAAGGACTCGGCCCGTCAGCCGAGTGGTTCTGCCGTCTGCCGGTGCCGCCTCGCCACTCCGATCCAGCCGGCGCCCCGTCCCCTCCCCGCCCCGTCCCCGGCACTGACACGACACGGCTCAACTGAGCGCCATATAAACGGGTGACAAATTGAGCGCCGCAGGCGGCCGGCCGATTTTTCGGCAGTCGCTCCCAGCGCGGCTGTTGTGCCGTTCGCGGCGCGCCGGTGACAAATGACACCTGAACGGCGCGGCAGCGACACCGGCGCGCCCCTGACAAATTAAACAGGCCGATACGAGCGATGGCCCGGCTAATTCAGCGCCGCTGTGTAACGGCGCGGGCCGCGGAGGAACACACGGGCGGGACACTGAGCTGGTGGCGTGGGAGAGGCTTTGTGGCGGCAGAGGTCACATTGTGTCATTAAGGGACGGCGGATGCAATTGTATGGCAGTTATATCTGGATGGTCGAGCCTTGTGTATCTTTTATTCGCCCGTCGTTAAATTCGCTCTGAACTGCACACAAGGCTCGTTTAGGGGCTCGGAAGAGCATGAACCAGGTGCACATCTTCCCCCACAACGTCAGTATCATATGTCAACATCGCTTTCATTCCTTCAATTTCATAGCGACGATCCAGTATGGCCCATCATCAGCGATTTGACAGCTTTACACCGCCCTGCCTGCCGTGGTGCTGTGGGCGCACCTCTAGTCCCCACGACCTGCCGCTCCCTCTACACTCTACAGTCTACACCGACGGCGCTGAGGCGCCGGTACTGCGGCCGTACCGTAGGTGTCGCTGTCGGCGGCTGTTGGGCCCGTCGACGTCGGGTGGTCTCCAAGGCAGCGGTAACCTAGGTGTCTCTGTCGGTGGCTGTCGGGTCGGTGGAGGTCGTGTGGTCTCCACGGTGCAGGCCGTACCGTAGGTGTCGCTGCCGGCGGCTGTCGAGTCTGTGGAGGTCAGATGGTCTCCACAGGTATAGTGTAGGTGTCTCTGTCGGCGGCTGTCGGGTCGGTGGAGGTCGGGTGGTCTCCACGGCGGCGGCGGTACCGTACATATGTAGATGTCACTGTCGGCAGCTTTGGGGCCGATGGAGGTCAGATGGTCGGGACAGGGACGTCCGGGGTACGGCGTAGGACAACATGGAAAGGGCTTCGCGCTGCGGGCAGCTGCCGATGCTGTGCCCGGTTCTGTCCTGCCCCAGCTCGCTGCTATGCACCTGACGGCTATCGCCTATCAACATCCAATTTTAACAAATATCATATAGGCATAATACCTTCTCATTAGGTTGTATCAGTTCCCACAGAGGACAAGGCGCATAGTAGCTAGCTTTGAAGCTGGAAGGTCTGATCATTGGTTCCAAATCCTGGCATGGCAAAAAGAGCTTGAAATGAATGCAAGACATTGCTGTTTTGTTTGACGCTCTTTTAAGTGCAGTTGAGTGCTACTCACCAGTAAAACGCCTTTTGGGCGAAGAACGAGCGAGCGAGATAGTGAGCCCTGCACGTGCGGAAGGGCGAGAAGGTACTTCCAATGGGCTTGCGCAAAGCACCCCTCTAACCTATGTTTTAGGGCCTTGCTCTAACCGATCGCTAGTGGTGTACCAAATTTGAACGCAATCGGCCCAGCCGTTCCTGAGATCTGAAAGCGGCACTCTGCACGTGCGCACGTGCAAACGGGGTCCAAACTGACTTTTGCACGGCACCCTACTAACTGGTCCCCAGCCGTGTACCAAATTTGAGCGCAATCGGCCCAGCCGTTCTCGAGATCTGGAAGCGCCCTCTGCACGTGCGCACGTGCAGTAGCACCTTAACCGCAACACATGGGAGTGCATTGCCTCAGCCTGGTGGGTGCCTACCTGTATGCCAAGTTTCAGCGAAATCGCCCCAGTAATTACCGAGTTATTAAAATGGGAACAAATTTGACACCTCTTATTGTTGTATTTTGCACGTGCACTGGGGGTGACCCACATGCATCGAGAGTATCCTATTTTTGGTAGAAGGAATGCTGCTACCCTACAAAAATTACCGCAAGTCAATCGCCCAAGCGGCTGCTGAGATATGAGCCTCTCAAAATCACTACTTTTGCAAAACAGCTTGAACACCCTTGATTTTTCACGTGGCACGTGCCACGACGGTCACTGAGGTGTATCAAAAGTAGTCAATTACGGGGTAGAAGGGATGGAGCTACCCAGCAAAAAAGACCGCAGGCCAATCGGTCCAGCGGTTGCTGAGATATAAGCCTCTCAAAAGCGTTACAGGCCGGGCCGGGCCGGGCCGGGCCGCTCATACTGAGATTTTTCCGTTATATTGAAAAGACTCGCTGCGCTCGCTCGCTCGTAACAACATGACAGCTGAGACGAGGGTGATTGTAGCGTAGCTGCTATCAGCACAAGACACGCACACGCTAATACTGCCAATATGACTGTCTCGGAATTCTGGCACCGAGACATCCAGCTGCATTCCTCGTCAGTAGGTATATACAGCCCTCGCCAACCGTCGAGCTGTCAGAGTGCTCTAGTACTCGCCGTTACCATGGTATTTGCAAGTGGCTCAACTCCCCGGCGGATTGTTTGAATTGGCGTGATTATGAGCGATGTGTCTGGGGTCCGAGATCGACGAGTCAGAACACTTAACGTGATGTAAGCAATGCAGCCGCGTGTCAGCTGGTATCTGAGAGATGTCGGGGTTATTACTCGGGAAAAAGGCCAATTTATGCAAGTGACTGCCCGCAATGCCACGCAGCACGCTAAATATGTTATGCCGGTCACTCGCATTGGATTGCAGACTTATTTATTTATTTCGACGAGTCGCGATCCATTGAAATCCCTTATTCCTTATTCAGCTCAAATATCTGATCAGTGGACAGAGCAAGCTCCTGAGCGTTTCGTAACCCGTCTCATGCAAGTGTCAACCTACTGATGTGTGCACTGGACGGCTGTAATTGGCAGCCGGCGGCACCGGTGACGCTGCGGCCTTGACCACCTGCGGGGACTGATTCTCGAGGCTCCGACATCCACAAACAGCGTACCTATTCCACCCACACTCCACAGGGGCCGGTGTGGCCGTGACTGGGGCGGCCGGCGCCCGGTGTGGGCGGCCCGCCGCCGCCGCCGCCCTGATCAGCCGCCCGCCGCTGCCACTGAGGGGTCAGTCGGGGGGCCGGGCGGGCGGGCGCCGGCCACTCGTGCGCTGTGCTCCGCCGGTGGCGGTGGCAGCGGCGGCGGCTGTGGTGTGGTGGCTGTGGCGGTGGTCTACTGACCCGGTCAGATACACACAGGTGAGCGGCCCGGTGCCGTCCCCTCCCCTCCCCCTCCCAGTCTACTGATGACGTCAGCACACCTGGCCAGACGGGCCTCCGGAGCAGCGAATGGCAAGCATTACCGAATACGTCGGCATGCATCCGTGCTGCAGCTGAGCTGACCGTGCCTGGACCGGGCCGGGGGGGGGGGGGGGTGCCGATCGAGTGGCCGACAGGCTACCGCGGGCCGTGTTGCTAAGACGGGGACCGGGAGGCCGTATAATAAACGTTCCGATAATACAGACACCCACATCAGACAGGAAGGGATAACTTGAAGTTTCTTGTAAGGTGTGGTTCAACCGCTTATCCTTACATTGTGCATTTGTTTCTTGTCGTCATGAGATCGTCATTCGCTGAACCTGAAGTCAGGTCGACGAGTCCAATCAGTGCATACCACAGCCTCTGGTGCTTCCTGGTTGGTTTTACTGCAGGTCGGTTCTCCGATGTTAAACGCCGTCACAGCATGAACGGTCGGAGGGCTGGCGCGGCAGGCCCTTTGGACGGCTGAACGAGGCGCAGCGAGACTGGAGTCTGACGGGCCAGTGTGGTTTACTCTCGGGACAGCTTTGTCCTGCTGCTACCGGGCCAGAGGTGGTGAGTTGCTGGCCGGGTAGTGTTGGCTATTCCTCAGGGCAGCTGGCCGGGCAGCTGTACCAGCTGTGCTGGTGAGTGGCTGTCAGGAAGTGCTGGATATTCCACAGGGCAGTTGTCGCCGGCTGTTGGAGGGTGCTCTCAGTGTTGGTTATTCCTCAGAGCAGCTGTGCCGGCCGTTGCTGGGCGCTGACACGGCAATGCGGCCCGCCGGCACCGGCTGGACGGCCGCCAGTGCCGGCCAGCGGCGGGCCGGTCACCCCACAGACTACCGGGTCTCACTGCCATTGTGTACCGGTCACCCCACAGACTGCCGGGTCTCACTGCCACTGTATCGGTGTGCCGGTCACCCACAGACTGCCGGGTACGGCCGAGCGCTCCCGAGACGACCTACCGCTCTCTGCAAGACTGGCAGCAACAGCTTACCTAGCGCGCATAGACTCATGGGTAATGATCATTTCGACGTTTGTTTCAGGTGCTTCTAAAGGAATCCTCACCATGGGGCAGTGTTTTTCAAGACAGAGACATAAACGGGAGTATTTCTCCATCAACCGGGCTGACAAGAGCGATATCGTGCTGCCCAAGCCAGCGACTTCGGACTGTGAGTAACCAGACAACGCCAAACACAATCTATTTTACTGGGGGAAAAAACTGAAACGTTCGGCTTTTCGTATGCTTTGCCCAAGTACGACGACTCTTATATCACAAATGGATAAAGCAGTTGGTGTAGGAATTGATTCTAAATTACAACCATTTGCACGATAGTGCAGTTAATTTCCATCAGCGGCATAGCATTGGGTAGCTTCGTCACGACACTCGATAGCCCGTTTAATTACTCGTCTCTGTCACCACCCTCGGCCGTTAGCGCGGACTGCTCCTCGCCTGCCGCCCGCCGCACCTGTGCGGCTTCGTCCCCGGCGGTGGCGAGCGGAACCGAAACTACTGTTTTCGCCCCTCCGCCCCACGCACAGCCGCCCCCGCCCCCGCCCTGCAGCACATATCCACGGCCGCCCACGCGGGCAGCACTGGACACGCACGGCAGTTCGGGCGGCCTCGTGACGATGGGACCGGTTCGTGACTGTCGGAGGCTGAATGGCCACAATGGAATGACACAGCCCGGCGCTGGGTTAGCGTGTCGTGTGCGTGCGTCCGTTGAAGTCTCCCGAAGGACGCAGGAAGCCGGCCTCCAGCGCTAGCTACCGGTGTTCGCTGTGTAAATTACGCCTCAGCTCACACAGGGCTGGCGGGACTCGGGAGAGCTGGTCGTATCCTTGTTCCGTCACTGATAGATGCCACATCCCGGCCGCCGGGTGAGAGGACGGACGTGGGCGGTGAGCAGGTGGGGAGATAAACAGAGCGGGGTCGGCGCTACGACGGCAGAGGGATCCGATCGGGCCCGAGTCATAAGATCGGGCCGGTCAGGAATACACTCAAAGCCCAAATTTGACTACCTTATAAGCATCCTGTCGGGACAAGTATTGGTGTGTAGTTATGAATACAACATCGACAATTATATGAATTACTAAGGAACTCGGAAGAAAATGTGATCAAAGTCATAAAAGGAACATTTTACGAAACATTTAGCTGTTGTCTGTAGAAGATAACATTTTGCAATGGTAATGCTGGGTGGTGGTGGGGGACATGAAACTATTAGAGCCTTGGTTGATGCAAAGTTTGCAGCTGTTATCTTACGAAGTTCTCCGAATAGCTCTCACGGGATGACTTTATTTTTAAAGCTCCCATGGGGCGTCTATGTTTTCCCCGACTTGGCGAGTGTGCCGGCGAATGTTCCGGCGCGGTCGGCGGCGCTCCTGGCGCTGCAACGGTGGACTGCGGCGCTCCCGGCGCTGTAGTCCTGTCGGCGGCGGTCCCGGCGCTGCCACTGACGCGGCTGAGCGTGCCGCGCCGCCAGTATTTACCCGGCCCGGGCCCAGGGCACGGCCTTTGAAGTACACGCCATCGACAGGGCGGCTCGGGGCGCCGGCATCCCGACGAGACGGGCGGTCCCGCTGTTCGACTCGTGTTTGCTGTTGTGACGAGGGAGCCCCGTTTACCTCCGCGCGCCTGCTCCAGCCGGCAGCTGCGCGCAGCTCAGCGGCGCGTGCTCTCCGCTCGCACCGTTCAACGCCACTGCTCGCTGCAGAGATCGGGTGTCTGGGGCGCAGACAGCCCGCGGAGGGAGGGGTATTCTGAATTCTGATGAAGGTGACGTTTCGTGGTAGCGCCGGAGATAGGGATGACCGGTGGCCGAGCTCTGGCGCCGAGCGCCAGGACAGGGGCGCATTGTGCCGCCGGACCTGTGGGCCCGGTGACTTCATCCCCCACCGCTAGCCGACAGCTGTGCGGTCACCTCGGCGCCGGCTCTGCAGTGGTCCTCGGACCCCCAGCAAGCACAGCTAGGTGCGCGAGGGCGCTCTAAATGTTTCCATGTTTCTCGTATCGCCCCGCGGACCCTCTCACCGTCCCAGAACTCTCATATCGGCCCATCCCTGGGGCTCTCTCTCCCTCTCCAAGAGCCCTCTCAGTGCTCGCCCCCGGGGGCGCTCCCGCCGCCCCGCCCCGGCCGGTGTCTGCGGGCCGTCACCGTTCGTGTATCTGGAGTGGCGCTGCCGCAGCTAAACACGGCCGGGCCCGTTTACAGAGGGGCTCTCGGGCTGGCAGCGGGCGCCGTCCAGTGGCCGTATTTACGGCCGGCCGCCGCCGGGGGTCTGCGCACACCCGCCGCCATTGTTTCGGCCGGCGAGAGGGTCCGGCGAGCGAACCACGGCGCACAGCCCCGGCCCGACCGTGTGCTGATCCGACCCTGGCGAACGCACGGACAGCTCTGGTCCGCGGCGACCGGCCGACTGTGCTGGCCATGTCGGGTGTGTCTGTAATAGTCGATCATACGACCATCCGACCTGCCGTCCGGCTGCAGCCGGCCGCTGCTGGCGGCTCTGACCGCCCAATGGACAGCTGGAATGAACGATGACCGTCAGCGAGCTGGGAGACAGGTGACGGCTGTCTGATCTCCGGTGATCGGTCAGACGGGTCACCGGGCCGGGGGACTCGTATCCTCGGGCTCAGGGGTGGAAGGTGGTCTGCAAGGCGGATCCTCGTGGTATTATGGACCCCAGAGGCCCCGAGCAGTGAGCACGGGTCGAGACAGAGGAGGTCATGATATCACTGGTTCTGGAGGTTAGGTAATGAAATGATGACATAGGTTTACAGGGGTAATTGTAGCATCTGAGAAAACAGCCACGGCTCATTAAGTTATCGATTATGAGCCCTCCAGCCGGGTGTGTTATCGCGTCTGCAGTCCGTGCCTGGGCCGGTTAGTGGTCGTTGTCGGCGTCAGAAGAACTTTCACACGGCTCCTGCTCTCGGCGGTCACAAAGAGCACTCAGAACTCGTAACCCCTGATCTCAGAACCAGACCGTTCTCCGCCAGCACCGAGCGGCAGACGTCTGCCAGACGACTCACGGCGGTGTGACCTTTATCTTCAGCCGCAGACGGTGTGACCTATAGCGGCCCGCAGACGGTGACGGCGCCTCTCAAAGGGTATCAGGCGGCGCCGGTCTGACGCCATTAGGTGCACACAGTCACTCGCCGCCGCCGATCTCAGATCCGCCAGAGGTCTGTGGTCGGACAGGGGGCCAATTGTACGTACTGGCGCCGTCTGGTGTAACATAGCAGAGTCAACATCGACTGTTGCGATCAGAGCGGTTACAAGCCTTTCAGCAACGGCTGATACAGTCACCATAGTAAATACACTTGAGACGCGGGCGCCAGGGGTTGATCCTTATGAAACAATAGTGCCTAAGAGACGTCTGAGCAGTGCCCGGTTTTCCGTGTACCTTGTCAATGCAGCGGGGGGGGGGGGGGGCTGACCGTTGGCGTTACATTCAGTTCATGGGGCACCAAAGGTAGCTAACGGTTCTTTTCCCCGACTCAAATAATAAATAATGCATTGTCAGACTATTCGTGGGGTCCATAATATTTCCTCTTTAAATCAACAATCAGGCGCTGAATTTCGCGTCAAATAAAAATACAAATCAGCTCTCAGTTCCTAAACTGAGCGTGACACGGGCACAAACAGCCGTGTCTATGGCGCTGGGGCGGGCTGACGTCATCACCGGGAGCCGGGTGATCGCTACTGTAACAACAGAGCGGGACGAGACCGGGGGCTGGCGGGGTGCAGGGCGCACACCGACAGCGGTGTGACGCTGTGGGGACCGGGGGCGGGGGACCGACACAGCGACCAGTGATCCGCGAAAACCCACCAGAAATCGTAACTGTAGTGAGCCGGGGAGGACCACCAGCAGTGACCCCTTCAGTGACCGGAGGCGGACCACCTCAGTGACCCGGGGACGGACCGCCCGCAGTGACCTCTGCTGTGACCGGGGGCGGGCCATCTCAGTGACACCGACCCGCACGGCCCCGGGCGCCGGCGGCGGCTCCTGCGGGGTGCCCGCGGCGGCCGCCCCGGTGCCGCCGGCAATCGGCTGCATACAGTCGGCCGCCGCCTTCTGTTGAGCTTGGCACGGTCCAAATGTCAGCAGTCGGTCCACGGCGCCGCGGCCAGGGGTCAGTGCCGCGGCACAGGCCGGTAGGTATGTGCACGGGCCGAGCGGCTGCGACCCCGGGGGCGTAGGACAGGGGACAGCGCCACGAAGTGGGACGGACAGGTGACACCTCACACAGAGGTGTCAGTGCAGAGACGGGAGAAGCCCCGGCCGCCGGCCTGTAAAACAGCGAGACGCGGTGTGACTGGGAAGGGCATTCAGTCCAGGAAGTGTCGTGGTCTGAGCATTATATGGGCGCCGGGGGTGAACTTCATCAACGGTGACACATCGTGTGCTGATACACATGTTGGATCTGACGTTGTCCCACATTTGTTATATCCAGTTTATCAATCAATCTCAACTGGGTCTGAACAGTATCTGCCGAAAATTGCTCAAACAAGTGATAGGATATATAATTTTGAATGTCTGCAGCTGATGAATGTCGGACTGACTCAGCCCTGCAACCGACTCCCTCGCTGGCTGATAGCGATCGGCTGGACCTCCCTTACGTCAAACGAGGATAAACAACGGATTCATTAATTGATTTCGGCACAAATGGAACTCCATGACGGTGGTCGGCAGTGGTATATCGGCAATCGGACTAGCATCCAACGCCAAAAACAGTTTGGCTACTAAAAGTGAACAGTTTATTGATTGGATTCGACTGTAAATGTCGTAATCGGTGCCGAATTGGCAGTGCTGTCAGCGATAGATGAGCGGGTGACTGTATACAGACAAAACAGGCGGCGCATCGCTGTCACCGGGCTGAGCTCACTCGGACACCAGTGTGGGTCGCTGCGGCGATATTTAGAGTGACTAATTACACCGTCTGATGAATCACGGACGACTCCCAGCCGCCGGCCATTAGTTCAGTGGTGACAGTAGAAATAGTGCGCACGTCCTAAATATATAAACAAAGATGGACATCACCACACAGCTGTGACCCACGGTGTGTCCTGTGTGACCTTGTGTGACCCGCTGTGACCCACCCGCTGTGACTGTGGTGTCCCATCACCCCTGTTCCAGTGGCCAGCCAGCCCCTGCTGGACGGTGCGCTGTGACCGTTGTGACCGCTGTGACCCGCTGTGTCTGTGTTCCAGTGGCCAGTCAGCCCCTGCTGGACGGCGCGCTGTGACCCGCTGTGACCGCTGTGACCACTGTGTCTGTGTTGTTCCAGTGGCCAGTCAGCCCCTGCTGGACGGCGCGCTGTGACCGCTGTGACCCGCTGTGTCTGTGTTCCAGTGGCCAGTCAGCCCCTGCTGGATGGTGCGCTGTGACCCGCTGTGACCCGCTGTGTCCCCTGTTCCAGTGGCCAGTCAGCCCCTGCTGGATGGCGCGCTGTGACCCGCTGTGACCGCTGTGACCACTGTGTCTGTGTTCCAGTGGCCAGTCAACCCCTGCTGGACGGCGCGCTGTGACCCGCTGTGTCTGTGTTCCAGTGGCCAGTCAGCCCCTGCTGGACGGCGCGCTGTGACCCGCTGTGACCCGCTGTGACCCGCTGTGTCTGTGTTCCAGTGGCCAGTCAGCCCCTGCTGGACGGCGCGCTGTGACCCGCTGTGACCGCTGTGTCTGTGTTCCAGTGGCCAGTCAGCCCCTGCTGGACGGCGCGCTGTGACCCGCTGTGTCTGTGTTCCAGTGGCCAGTCAGCCCCTGCTGGACGGCGCGCTGTGACCCGCTGTGACCGCTGTGTCTGTGTTCCAGTGGCCAGTCAGCCCCTGCTGGACGGCGCGCTGTGACCCGCTGTGACCGCTGTGACCCGCTGTGTCTGTGTTCCAGTGGCCAGCCAGCCCCTGCTGGACGGCGCGCTGTGACCCGCTGTGACCGCTGTGACTGTGTTCCAGTGGGCAGTCAGCCCCTGCTGGACGGTGCGCTGTGACCGACCGCTGTGACCCGCTGTGACCGCTGTGACCGCTGTGATCGCTGTGTCTGTGTTCCAGTGGCCAGTCAGCCGCTGCTGGACGGCGCGCTGTGACCCGCTGTGTCCGCTGTGTCTGTGTTCCAGTGGCCAGTCAGCCCCTGCTGGTGGGCGCTGTGACCCGCTGTGACCCGCTGTGGCCCGCTGTCTGTGTTCCAGTGGCCAGTCAGCCGCTGCTGGACGGCGCTCTGGCCGTGGCGGAGCTGGACCTCTGCGTCCGTACGAACGGCGCCGACCACTGCACGGCGGTGTACCAGCGCGGCCTGCGGCGCCGGGCGCTGGTCGTGCGCCGCGGCCAGCCCTTCCACATCTGCGTCCGCTTCAACCGAAAGTACACCGAGGAGCGGGACCACATATCGCTCATCTTCACCGTGGATGGTGGGTCCGGCGCCGCGCCGCGCGGCCGGTCCGACCGTCGGCAGATCCGGGCTATACGCTTCATTGCTGCATAACGATACTCACCTGACTTTGTTCTTAAATGGATCGTTGTCTAATCACACTTCGTTGCCGTTGTCTAATCACACTTCTTTGCCGCTATCCTGTCAAAACGAATTTGTAAAATTGGCGGGAGCTGGGATTTCAATTTTGTAAGAGAATATTTTCATCTCTAACCCTTGTTCACGCTCATTCAGTACGCACTCTGTTCCTATGCATTTTACGGTTTTAATTGTATGCAGTTAATTAAGTAGACTTATCCAGCAAGCTAATACATTTCGTGACTATTACGTGGTACTTGGTAATGGTGGTCTTTATCGTCTATTCCTATGGACTTTATCTGACCGTCACTGACCGAGTCAACTCTTTCTTCTTGCTGCTTGTGCCTGTAGGATGTAAGATGAAAGTAAGTTGATATGTTTCATTAGTTCCCGTGCATTATGCGATGCTTTCGACATGGCCTGCCACTATTTCTGTAGATAACGCTGATTTGACATTTTTCAGAGGGTGATCGAGGTAAGAAAGCTTTGATAAGCTCATATGTCTGCCATGTATGTCCCATGAACGTTTGTGACTGTCACGATATTATTCAGTGAATGAATTGATGTCTGCGTTTCGTCCCTTTTCATGTATGTATATGTAGCCCTTGCTTTACTCTTGTCCGGTCTTATTCGGCCGTTATAGCTTTTGTGGTGTCTCAGCTACCTAATTTCTGCAAGCTTTATGTGGCGTTATTTGTTCAATGTGCCTCGCTCGCTATTCGAACTGTGGTAAATGTTCACCATGAGGCGCTCAGCGTTGTGTGTCCATACCCTTTGCTCGCTCATTCTTCAGTTGTGCTGCCTCAAATCTGCTCATAGTCACTCATAAGTCATAGAAGGGCTATGTTTTGTTGTGATTAAGTAGTTTCGCGTTAAAAAAAAAAAACTGTGCTTTTATTCCGTTCACGGGTACACCCCATATCATCGTTCAGTCTCCAAACCTTGCGGTAGATCCGGTGCCCTCTAGTTGTCCCGGTGACCGCTGACCGACCTGCTGCTCTGTTACCCTCCCTGTTAGCTGTGCCCTCCACTGTCCCAGTACAGTGTGGTGCTGTGACCGCTGACCGACCCCCACTGCTTCGTTACCCTCCCTGTGAGCTGTACCCTCCACTGTCCCAGTACAGTGTGGTGCTGTACCGTACCTCACCCGCCCCGTTCCAGCGGCCGACGTGCCGTCGGTGGGCCACGGCACCCTGGAGGCGGTGCCCGTCACACCGGAAGACGAGGCGCCCACCGGCGCCTGGCACGCGCACATTGCCGAAAACGAGGGCGACAAAATCACACTCAGGGTACGTACGGCCGGGCCGGGCCGGCGGAGAGGGCCCTGTATAGCGCGCAGTGTGTAGGGGCGATACTCCTATGGATCGGGTTACATCAGCCGACCGGCCGATGGAGTTTGACAAACACAATCAAAATGTTCTCAAAACATACCGAACCGTCCACCTATTCATAGACTGAGTTTTGTCGTATCATGATTCTCTCATTGTTTATTTCCCAAACATTTGGATGCGACAGCTCTAGTAAAATAATCCTGAGACGAAATGGGATTCATTTACTTGCAAGGTGCACGTCATCAGCCACTCGCTCACGTATGACGTTATCCGCGGCTGATTCACAGGTGACGTCATCAGCCAGCAGTATCGTCGGCAAGTGGCGTCTGGAGGTGGACACGAGGACGGGCGACCACTCGCTGAACTACAGCCACCCCACACTCGTCTACATGCTGTTCAACCCGTGGTGTTCAGGTGAGGCCGGCGAGCAGCGCTCACAGCGGAGCCGCGCGGTGATTGGCTGAGGGCCGCTGTGACGTCACTGTAATGTTAAGACGCCGCGCGGCGATTGGCGGAGGGCCGCTGTGACGTCACTGTCTGGTTAGAGACCTCCGAATGGGACGGAGAGACTAAGCAGAGCTATCCTTGAGAGGTAGGTAGGTTCTTGGACCTGCAAATGGCGGAGAGCGATGGAGAAATTCGTATTGCGAAGTTATTTGGACAGCCTTGATCGTGGTATGTGTCTCCGTAAATGTTTCAACTACATACATCCGGTATGGGAATTGGGAGACCTAACATACAAAGTCTTTGAGCGTGACGAAACATGTTGCAGTATTTTCGCTGTGCCGTATATTTACTTTAACGCCGGCAAGGCTTGTGCACTCTGTGCAATGGTTACGGAGTAAATACGGCTGACCCTGGACCTTCATTGGAACGCTCGAGTGTCATGGTCCAGCGAATATTTACACAATGCATACTCAGCGTGTCAGTGTGTACTTATCGGACTTGGCATCAGAAAATGCACTGTGCTACATCTGCTGCATGTCTCAGTACCATGCACCATACCCTATCCTATCTGCAGAGGACGCTGTGTATATACCTGTGTACTGTGTACCTCAGTACCCCGTCCTGTACCCAGAAGACGCCGTGTACCTGTGTACTGTGTACCTCAGTACCCCGTCCTGTGTACCCAGAGGACGCCGTGTACCTGTGTACCTCAGTGCCCCGTCCTGTACCCCGCTCTGTACCTGCAGAGGACGCCGTGTACCTGTGTACCTCAGTGCCCCGTCCTGTACCCCGCTCTGTACCTGCAGAGGACGCCGTGTACCTGTGTACCTCAGTGCCCCGTCCTGTACCCCGCCCTGTGTACAGAGGACGCCGTGTACCTGTGTACCTCAGTAGCCCGTCCTGTACCCAGAGGACGCCGTGTACCTGTGTACCTCAGTACCCCGTCCTCTGTACCTGCAGAGGACGCCGTGTACCTGTGTACCTCAGTAGCCCGTCCTGTACCCAGAGGACGCCGTGTACCTGTGTACCTCAGTACCCCCTCCTGTACCAAGAGGACGCCGTGTACCTGTGTACTGTGTACCTCAGTACCCCGTCCTGTACCCAGAGATCGCTGTGTACCTGTGTACTGTATACCTCAGTAGCCCGTTCTGTGTACGGAGGACGCCGTGTACCTGTGTACCTCAGTACCCCGCCCTGTGTACAGAGGACGCCGTGTACCTGTGTACATCAGTACCCCGTCCTGTACTCCCTCCTGTACCTGCAGAGGACGCCGTGTACCTGCCGGAGCCGGCCGAGCGCCGCGAGTACGTCGAGTCGGACGCGGGCCTGCTGTACCGCGGCAGCCACAGTCGGCCGCGGCCCTGTCCCTGGAGCTACGGCCAGTACGAGGCGGACGTGCTCGACTGCAGCCTGGCCGTGGTCGGACGCGCCATCTGCAACCGACTGGCCGACCGCGCCGACCCCGTGCTCGTGGTGCGCGCCGTCTCAGCAATGGTGAGATCCTGGATAGGGGGACCCGGGTCACCCTCACCTGACCCGTGCTCGTGGTGCGAACTGCGAGCCGTCTCAGCCATGGTGAGGCCCTGGGTGGGGGACACGGGTCACCCTCACCTGACCCGTGCTCGTGGTCCGAGCCGTCTTAGCCATGGTGAGATCCCGGATGGGGAGGGGCTAAAATTTGGAACACTGCTCCCTGCCATTTACGCGCTTGTGAGGGACGATAAGGCGTGCTGTGGAATGTAGATTCGTCGTCAAGTCTCTGATTGACAAGGTGGCACGGTTAGGGATCCATCACCGTCCGAGGCAGCAGAGCCCCTGTACCAATTATTGAATCGCCGTGCAGGAAGTCGCTGAAAAACAGCTCGAATTGTTGGATACACTGACTGGTCATTGCAGCGACACTAAACAATGGTTCATCCGAGCTGCCACGGCTGTCCACAGCAAGATATAAACGTTTCCAACTGTTAGTGACAGAGCACCGACTATGACGGGCTGACAGACTGGATGGCAGACGGTAGTGACAGACTGCACGAACACCGGCACGGTACATGGTTTTAGGTGGTGGTTTTTCTTCTCCTTTTGGATAACGTCCTACATTTGCAGTTTGCGAATCACTGGTCTCCACTACGTGAACAGAATGCATTGTGTAAACATTAAACAGCTAATGTGTCGCCACTCGCCAGCTGAGAAACATGGCATCTCCCCTCCGTCACGCTGCTGCCTATTTACCCGGTCAGTGAGATGGTTTCACCACATCACTCAATGCCACCCCCTCTGCACATCTATGTACCCAAACACGGGCCATGCTCGGTGCTACTGCCGGCGCTGCGGTGTTTATCCATCTGGGGACCGTCCTCCTCTGGACATCTCTGTACCCAAACACGGGCCATGTTTGGTGCCGCCGGTGTTGCAGTGCAGTGTTTATCCATCTCGGGACCGTCCCTTCTGTACATCTGTGTACAGAGACCATACTCAAACAGGGGCCATGTTCTGTGGCGGTTCACTGCTGACGCTGCAGTGTTGATCCATCTGGGGACCGTCTGTCGTCGATTGGAATGTGCCCACGTCCGGCTCCCAGCGATACATGCACGGACAGTCAACACCACATGAAGGGGTGGGGACGGGTTAGGCGGGCGGCTGTTCAGCAGAATCTGTCACCAGCACCTGCCCGGCCTCGGGGTGGGCGGGGTCAGCAGTCGTCACTGGTAGCTCTCCCCTGGTCCCCTGTGTTAGCGGGCGGCTGGTCAACAAAGATTAGCGGCAGCTGCCCCGGCCGCTGTTTAACTCTGCCCTATATCTCTGGTTAGCTCTGCCTACGAGCACGACGCTGGGCGGCGCTGTAACTCAGCTGTATTGGTAGAACAGGTGGCGTTTAGGTCTGATGGAGCTCTCAACTCAGTGCCAGCCTATTCTGAGCCGCTTATGTTCAACGGTTCGCTCATTAAAATAACCTTCCAGTTTCAGTCCTGTTGGCATATGTAGACACTGTTTGTGACGTTTGATGATGTATTGTACCTCGATGTGACAGGTGAACCGCTGTGATATGGACGACGTCCTGTGAGTGTCCCGGTACCTCCTACACAGGTGAACCACTGCGACGAGGACGGCGTGCTGTGACGTGTCTGTCCCGGACCCCCGGTGTCCCTCTCTGTGACGTGTCCCGGTGTCCCTCTGTGACGTGTCCCGGTGTCCCTCTCTGTGACGTGTACCGGTGCCCCTCTCTGTGACGTGTCCCGGTGCCCCTCTCTGTGACGTGTCCCGGTGTCCCTCTCTATGACGTGTCCCGGTGTCCCTCTCTGTGACGTGTCCCGGTGCCCCTCTCTGTGACGTGTCCCGGTGTCCCTCTGTGTGACGTGTCCTGGTGTCCCTCTCTGTGACGTGTACCGGTGTCCCTCTCTGTGACGTGTACCGGTGTCCCTCTCTGTGACGTGTCCCGGTGTCCCTCTCTGTGACGTGTCCCGGTGCCCCTCTCTGTGACGTGTCCCGGTGCCCCTCTCTGTGACGTGTCCCGGTGTCCCTCTGTGACGTGTACCGGTGTCCCTCTCTGTGACGTGTCCCGGTGCCCCTCTCTGTGACGTGTCCCGGTGTCCCTCTGTGACGTGTACCGGTGCCCCTCTCTGTGACGTGCACCGACTACCGGTGTCCCTCTCTGTGACGTGTCCCGGTGCCCCTCTCTGTGACGTGTCCCGGTGCCCCTCTCTGTGACGTGTCCCGGTGCCCCTCTCTGTGACGTGTCCCGGTGTCCCTCTGTGACGTGTACCGGTGCCCCTCTCTGTGACGTGTACCGACTACCGGTGTCCCTCTCTGTGACGTGTCCCGGTGTCCCTCTCTGTGACGTGTCCCGGTGTCCCTCTCTGTGACGTGTCCCGGTGTCCCTCTCTGTGACGTGTCCCGGTGTCCCTCTCTGTGACGTGTACCGGTGTCCCTCTGTGACGTGTCTTTCCCGGTGTCCCTCTCTGTGACGTGTCTGTCCCGGTGTCCCTCTGTGACGTGTCCTGGTGTCCCTCTCTGTGACGTGTCCCGGTGTCCCTCTGTGACGTGTACCGGTGCCCCTCTCTGTGACGTGTACCGACTACCGGTGCCCCTCTCTGTGACGTGTCCCGGTGTCCCTCTCTGTGACGTGTCCCGGTGTCCCTCTGTGACGTGTCTGTCCCGGTGTCCCTCTGTGACGTGTCCCGGTGCCCCTCTCTGTGACGTGTCCCGGTGTCCCTCTGTGACGTGTGCCGGTGCCCCTCTCTGTGACGTGTACCGACTACCGGTGCCCCTCTCTGTGACGTGTCCCGGTGTCCCTCTCTGTGACGTGTCCCGGTGTCCCTCTCTGTGACGTGTACCGGTGTCTTTCTGTGACGTGTCTGTCCCGGTGTCCCTCTCAGTCTCTGTGACGTGTCTGTCCCGGTGTCCCTCTGTGACGTGTCCTGGTGTCCCTCTCTGTGACGTGTCCCGGTGCCCCTCTCTGTGACGTGTACCGGTGCCCCTCTCTGTGACGTGTCCCGGTGCCCCTCTCTGTGACGGTCCCGGTGTCCCTCTCTGTGACGTGTACCGGTGTCCCTATGTGACGTGTCCCGTTGCCCCTCTCTGTGACGTGTCCCGGTGTCCCTCTCTCTCACAGATGAACCACTGTGACGTGTACCGGTGCCCCTCTCTGTGACGTGTCTGTCCCGGTGTCCCTCTGTGACATGTCTGTCCCGGTGTCCCTCTGTGACGTGTCCCGGTGTCCCTCTCTGTGACGTGTCCCGGTGCCCCTATCTGTGACGTGTCCCGGTGTCCCTCTGTGACGTGTACCGGTGCCCCTCTCTGTGACGTGTACCGGTGTCCCTCTCTGTGACGTGTCCCGGTGTCCCTCTCTGTGACGTGTCCCGGTGCCCCTCTCTGTGACGTGTACCGGTGTCCCTCTCTGTGACGTGTCCCGGTGCCCCTCTCTGTGACGTGTCCCGGTGCCCCTCTCTGTGACGTGTCCCGGTGTCCCTCTGTGACGTGTACCGGTGTCCCTCTCTGTGACGTGTCCCGGTGTCCCTCTCTGTGACGTGCCCCGGTGTCCCTCTCTGTGACGTGTCCCGGTGTCCCTCTCTGTGACGTGTACCGGTGTCCCTCTGTGACGTGTCTGTCCCGGTGTCCCTCTCTGTGACGTGTCTGTCCCGGTGTCCCTCTGTGACGTGTCCTGGTGTCCCTCTCTGTGACGTGTCCCGGTGTCCCTCTGTGACGTGTCCCGGTGCCCCTCTCTGTGACGTGTACCGACTACCGGTGCCCCTCTCTGTGACGTGTACCGGTGTCCCTCTGTGACGTGTCTGTCCCGGTGTCCCTCTGTGACGTGTCCCGGTGCCCCTCTCTGTGACGTGTCCCGGTGTCCCTCTGTGTGACGTGTCCTGGTGTCCCTCTCTGTGACGTGTACCGGTGTCCCTCTCTGTGACGTGTCCCGGTGTCCCTCTCTGTGACGTGTCCCGGTGTCCCTCTCTGTGACGTGTCCCGGAGTCCCTCTCTGTGACGTGTACCGGTGTCCCTCTGTGACGTGTCTGTCCCGGTGTCCCTCTCTGTGACGTGTCTGTCCCGGTGTCCCTCTGTGACGTGTCCTGGTGTCCCTCTCTGTGACGTGTCCCGGTGCCCCTCTCTGTGACGTGTACCGGTGCCTCTGTGACGTGTCCCGGTGTCCCTCTCTGTGACGGTCCCGGTGTCCCTCTCTGTGACGTGTACCGGTGTCCCTATGTGACGTGTCCCGTTGCCCCTCTCTGTGACGTGTCCCGGTGTCCCTCTCCCTCACAGATGAACCACTGTGACGTGTACCGGTGCCCCTCTCTGTGACGTGTCTGTCCCGGTGTCCCTCTGTGACGTGTCTGTCCCGGTGTCCCTCTGTGACTTGTCCCGGTGTCCCTCTCTGTGACGTGTCCCGGTGCCCCTCTCTGTGACGTGTACCGGTGCCCCTCTCTGTGACGTGTCCCGGTGTCCCTCTCTGTGACGTGTCCCGGTGTCCCTCTGTGACGTGTCTGTCCCGGTATCCCTCTGTGACGTGTCCCGGCGTGCCCCTCTCTGTGACGTGTCCCGGCGTGCCCCTCTCTGTGACGTGTCCCGGTGTCCCTCTCCCTCAGGTGAACCACTGTGACGAGGACGGCGTGCTGGTGGGTAACTGGAGCGGCGAGTACGCCGGCGGCACGGCGCCCACCCGGTGGCAGGGCTCCGTGCAGATTCTGCAGCAGTACCACCGCACCGGACGGCCCGTCAAGTTCGGACAGTGCTGGGTGTTCGCCGGGGTCTCCACCACCGGTGAGAAAGAGAGTACTCTCACTCTGAGAAAGAGAGCACCACATGTGAGAGAATGTCTCTGGGGAGAGTGAGCGCGGCACAGTATTGAGTCATGACGACAGGGGTGGCCGCGGCATGAAGTTAGTACGAATTGGTTCATACTTGACTGTATTTGCGTTACCTTCTCGTACTTTTCAGGATCGTTTTAAAATGCAAATGATCTCGGTTCAAAACCCTTTAAAGAAGAACGCAGACATTTATTTTGTTATTTCATTGACAGCTCTGCGCCTAACAAAGAACTTAAAAGCCTTACTTCTTTTTTAGGAATAATTAACGAGTTATCCAACTGCGCTTCTGCAATTGCAGCGCAATCTGTCTGTTTGTTTCGGCCTGTTTACGTCGTAAGCGTCTCGTTGTGCGTTGCATAGTTGCTCCTTAGTCTAATGCTAAGTGGTCGCCACTGAGCTGCCACCGTGCGTCGGAACGGCCGTCCTCCGGGCGCCCCGTTTGTTCCTGGCTGGCCGGGTGTCCAATATTCCCCGGACTCGGCGGCGAAATGCCGGGCGGCGCTGTCAGAGCCGCTCAGACAGTGACGTGTCCTGGCCTGCCGCGATAACTTATGAACTAAACACCGGGGGAAAACAGCGCTGAGACTGCTCGGGTAACTGGTTGCTTTGGCTGGTAAACAAGGGATTTCTCATTGCAACGGCAAGTTAGTCAGGCATTGCATGGTTTTTCTTAAATAGTCTTGTTTTATTTAAGAAGATGGTGTAAATAATCGCGGAAGTACCAGTCCCGGAAGCCTGTTACAGTGTCTGTGTGACCCATTCTCTTTGGCGGCAGTGTGCCGGGCGCTGGGCATCCCGTGCCGGCCGGTGACCAACTACTCGTCGGCTCACGACACCCACGGCAGCCTCACTATCGACGTGTTCTACGACAGCGAGGGCGAGCCCATCGAGCGGCTCAACAGGGACTCCACTTGGTGAGCCCGCAGCGGCGGCGGCTAGCCCACAGGGGGGGGACGGCTAGCTCACAGGGTAGGTGATTAGCTCACAGCGGCGGCGGCTAGCCCACAGGGGGGACGGCCGTGAGTTCGGTGTGCTCTCAGGGACGGGCCGACTTACAGCTGGTGGGCCGCCCCACGGGGGCAGAGGGTACCGAGTCTGACAGTAACGCGCCCACCCAGCCTCTTTCGCCACCCCACGTCTCCAGGATAGACGCAATACCGAGAGCGCCATTGAGCAACAGCGCAGACATAGCAATTCCTTACCAAAGGCGGATTGCACTTGGATATTCGCCCACATTTTCGCTTTCGCTTTAGACGGCGAGATATATGCTTGTTCGAACTCATTTAAGCGTAGGATGTTCAAGATGTATACGTATCTCACGCGTGAAAGATCAAGGTTTATACCAATGCTATTCTCGATACGTTTACTAACTAGTTCGTTGGTCATTTACCTCCTACGTGGAACTCCCTTAACCTCGGTAATTAGACTGTGATGATTAATTAACCCAGTCACCTTTCACCTTTGCCGCTGACGGGCAGGAATTTCCACGTGTGGAACGAGGCGTGGATGCTGCGGCCGGACCTGGAGAGCGCCGCCAGTCGGTCCAGCTACGGCGGCTGGCAGGCGTTCGACGCCACGCCGCAGGAGGTCAGCGAAGGTCAGTGACCCGCCTTGTAACCCAGCTCCATTTTGGGCGGTTCTGTGTGATATTGTTAGTCGGAGAGCCCATCACGGGTCACCGTCACAGGCCGACATCGATCTGCCGATGAATTCGATAAATGAATGATCGATTCATCGAAATCAATAGTTAGATTTATTTGATGCTGCGATGAATTGGAATTGATGTTGCTGGGACCCCCGGTGCTTTTACATCTATTCAATAGCGTGAGCAGTGAGCACATACCTAAGACGGATTTGATCGCAGATAGAACAGAAATATAAAATGAATTTATTTCATTTATCAAGACACGTACAAAATAGTTATAGCCAAAGCAAAAGCATTTTTGCTTCAGTCACAGCACCTTCTCGGCTCTTACTGCTATCGGCCGAGTCTATGCTATCGGCGTATGCTATCTATAATGCTATCGGCGTAGTCCTGCGCTGCCGTTGCTTTGCTTTGATGTTAAGAAATCAAACCGATATCGGCGGCGCTCCGCCCCACCGTGCGCCCCGTTCCGCCGCAGGCCGGTACGCCTGCGGCCCGTGCGCGCTGCAGGCGGTCCGGAACGGCGAGGTGAAGCGCGCCTTCGACGTGGGCTTTGTGTTCGCCGAGGTGAACGCGGACCGGGTGTTCTGGAAGTACTCGGGTCCGCGGCAGCCGCTTAAACTGCTACTCACCGAGCGCGCAGAGTGAGTGGAACTCGCCGCCGCCGGCTCTGGGGCACGGACGGCGATTGGGTAATCTATCAGACCGCCGGCATGTCCAGGGAGATGTGTGGAGACGTGGAGGGGCTTTGCTGACTGGATGGTCGCTAGTTTGTTGATTGTTCAATATGTAGGCGACTAGTTAGTGAGTCAATCCATCTCTCGAGTCTCCGCTGTCGACCGATCGGCTGCTAGTTATGACAGGTCTTGCGGTAGACGCCTTTGTGAAGCTGAATGTGCTCTGTCGGGATTCGGTTACCAACCAATTTGTTTGGATAAAATAGAAGGTAAGGCGCGACGCGTGGTGTGACCTCTGCCTTCGTCCCCAGCGTCGGCAAGGCGGTGGTCACCAAAGCTCTGGGCGAATGGACCCACGAGGATCTGACGAGCAAATACAAACACGATGAAGGTAATCATTAATACTATATACTGGTATAGCACTCTCAAGTATCTCTTATTGACCATTGAAAGCTCAGCCTATCAATTGTAAGCCTGAATTATCCAAACATGCTCTTTTTGGCATGGCGATTATGTTCGAGGGATCAGTAAAAGAGTCTGTCACTCGCCGTGTACCGTCTACAATACCGTTATTAATCAACTCCTGACCATTGACCGTTCTCCCCGCCCCCTACAGAGACGGATGTGGAGCGGCGGACGATGCTGAACGCGCTCCGCGAGACGGGACACGTCTTCAGCAGGTTCTACCTCAACGAGGAGCTCGAGGATATCCACTGCGACTTCGCCCTCAACGACGACATCGTCATCGGACAGACGTTCCAGTGAGTGGCCGCGGCGCGCGGGTCCGGGCGGCGGGAAGGTGGGCATCGTGGCTGTGTCTTATCCAATAGTCGCTGGCCGGTGCCTAGCTAAATAGAAAAAATGTCTGCCATCCAGTTAATTAAGAAGAGGACGACCCCGTTCAATGTGTCCTTACAACGTCTAATGAACCAGTTCTGTGCTGTACTTTGTTATCATATTTCTCGTGTGACCTTATCAGCTGCAAATTAATCCGATGAGGCCGACCTGTGCCCCGGGAAGTGACCCGAACTCGTTTACCCTCGGAGTGCTGCGATGGACAGCCGATCCCGGGCGGAGTGTCTCCGTCGCTCCGCACAGCTGCCCAGACGGGGGCGGCTGTCTGACCCCCCCCCCCCTCCACCGCCCCCAGTGTGACCCTGCGGGTGGAGAACCGCAGCGAGGACCGGCCGTACACGGTGTCGGCGCACCTCCGAGTCGATACACAGCTCTACACCGGCCGCACCGGCCAGTTCGTCAAAAAGAACAACTACCGATTCCAGGTGGAGCCCGGAAACGGTGAGAGGCACCGGTCCAGATGCATGCCGCCATTGCCGATATTTTACGGCATATTTGGTTGTTACTTGTGAAATAGTTCTAATCAACTCACCGCCTGTTTTCCATAAAACATGCCAACCAACTTTTGTAACTTCTTGTCTTAATTATCCGCTCAACATGGCGATAGGATGAGGGTCTGTTCTCCAGTAATACTTCTACTCCGTGTATCACGTCATCGTCTCTCCCCGCTCCGGACCCGGCTCTCTGTCTGACCCCCACCCCTCTCCCCGCCTCCTACAGAGGAGGATACCTCGATGTCTGTCTGACTCCTCTCCCCGCCTCCTACAGAGGAGGAGATCTCGATGCCGGTCTCGTACGACGAGTACTACGACCAGCTGGTGGACCAGAGCGCCTTCCGCATCGCCGCCATCGTCGGCGTCCTCGACACCGACTACGAGTACTTCGCCAGCGACGACTTCAGAGTCCGCAAACCCGACATCCGGATAGAGGTGGGCAAAGGGTTGGGGATTCTTGCTTAGAGAACTGGACGGATGGGTGACCAAGGACCATATAAGGCGACATTCACTGTGGCAAAGCTACCTGCTTTTTGCGGGTACATTATGTTGGGATCTTAACGTATCAGTGATATATTTGTTTGTGTGTTTGTTTTTATGTGACACCTCGCCTTCCTTTCTCAGCTGGACGGGCACCCGTCAGTGGGCGCCGAGCTGCGAGTGATAGCCGAGTTCAACAACCCGCTGCCCACCCGGCTGACTCGCGGACGGTTCCTCCTGGAGGGAGGCGGCCTCACCGAGCCCGTCAAAATCAAAGTCAACAAGTACGTGATGTGTGCAGTCGCCACCGCCAGGCCATTTCGAGTTTCCGCTATAACTGTATAAACTTCACACCTGCCTTGCCTTGGAACTCACGATCTACGCGTTATGTACTTTTAATATGCTTGGCTGAGGTTCATACTTCACCTCTTATAAAGAGACACCCGATGAAATGTTTTGGACATAGTGTGCAAGCGCACTTAAGCATCCATGGCAGTTTGAAATTCGCCATTGCCTTGACGTTGCTCCTACCTCATTGTGTCTGTGTGTCATTTGTGCATGCGTTCCCCTGACTTGTGTCTGTCTGTGCGCCCCCAGAACTGTCGGTCCGTACGAGCCGGTACGGGCGGTGGCCACCATCGTGCCCTGGTCGGCCGGCGAGCACCTGCTGGCCGCCAAATTCTACTCCAAACAGCTGAACGACGTGGACGGCTTCCTGCGGATCCTGGTGAAACCGCGACTGGAGAACACGGGCAGCATCCTGGAGGACGGATCCACTGAACTGGGACGCATGTAGAACAGGATCCGCAGAACTGGGGCGGATCCATTGGGCTGGGGCGCTTGTAGGGATACTGACGATACTTGGGACGATTCGCCGAAGCATCTGGTGAAGAGCAGTAAAAAAACTGGTCAGTAAAAAATGTTTTAGTGCAGACGGCTGGAAACTTGCACAGCCGGTTTGGTGGAGCCAGTACAGGAACTTTGGTGGGAGATCAATTTACGATTCGGTAAAATTTTGCGTCTTGGCTGCTGATTTTGGCAAAGAGAACAAAGCTTAAGTTTGATTTAATATCAACACTGATCATGTTAAGTTTTACGAACTCAAACTACCCATTGAAGTTTATAAGCTTTCAGAGTATGGTTGCGTCGTTTTTATTCGTCAAGCGTCAGTGGACGAGTAGTTTCCGATAAAGTCGTGATGTGCCCTGGTGTATCGTTTTTCTGCAAGACTAGGCTACATTTTCATTGGGTAAGGCATCTCCGAGAAGTCGGTTATTGATTTCCTGGCGTCTGACAGACGGCCTGACGGCATCAAAGGCGAGCCTTTAATAGCTGCAGAGCGAGCGCCGTATCGCAACGTACCGATACGAATTATGTTGTTCGACTGTTCCATCTCCGACAGGTGAAATGTTGTCACCTTAGGCCACTGTACACTGTCCAGTGTTCTACGTTACTGTATCATAAGTTAGACCATGATTCGGTCCCTGTCCTTTAATGACACGGCCGCAGCGTAATAGCCAGACGATGGATTAATACCGCGGCCTCCATTTACCCCGGGGCTTCTCTGATGCCCGCCGCGCCGCCGGCGGCGCTCAATCAAAGCTCCCGGTTTGTAGAACTGCGACCAGGTGCGGTCCCGGAACCACGGCTGGCTACTAGGCGCGGTTCTCTCGACAGGCTGATTAGCCGGTTCCGTGAATTTGTGGTTATTGGACGTGATAAACACGAGCCTACCTTGAACTGCTACTGACACGGCGTCGCCGGTGTGCGTGGTATGTTCTATGCTCGGGTGCAGTTCCGCACGCTATGACGCTCGACTGCGTCGTGTGCCGATACTGCGCACAAAGTAGGATTTCGCTTCTGTGGGGTGCAGGCCACCACATCAGTATGACATAGAGGTCGGTTATAGCGAGGCTGGGAAATATCTCAGGGGGCTCCATCTCTGTCTGTAGTCGCCTGGCCAGCCTGACCGACGATAGCGAATCAGTCAAACGCCAGTGACTGTGTGTGAGTTGAGCTTTCCCTGCCAGTGGTGTTCAGATGAGGCTATAGTCTTGGATAAGTTAAAGAAGAGCGGCATTTGTGGCGCCTGAGCTGTGGAATTTCGCTTTGTAACAGCCTTCGTCGTTTTAATAAGGTCTGCCTAAGTCACAGCTGAGAATGGAGAGTTTACTCGCGGGGTTCTTTGCCGCATGGAAGTTCCAAAGAATTTCCATTCGTGTGTGATCGTACCGTCTTTGTGTTCCATGAAGTGTTGTGTCTGAGTGCAGCGTTAGACATTGTCTGTGTGAACTTGAAACGAGTAATTGTTTTGTACTCTTTTCAAAGCTTGCCCTAGGCTGTCTCTTTTATCAGCCTTTGAACTAACCAACCTAACCAAAGTTGTCTGTGATTATTGCTTGCTTCTGGCCAGTGTAAATATATCGATGTCAATAAACTACGCACGTCAATACTGAATCGGAAGCCTTCGATCATTGGTGCGGCCAGTATATTAAATATATTGCCTCTTACTGCCGATGACGGGAGCGGGTTGGGAAGGCGGCTCGGGTGATGAAAGCAATACCATTAACAGGGCAAAGGATATTGAAAGGCACTGCTGCACCGAGCGCAACTTCATCGGTCTTCTGAAATTGAAGCAGTCGTCTTTCTGCTTTTACTCTAAAACTATTAGAAGTTTGTATTCGGTTCTTGAAAAATCGTTTCGCCAGCTCAAAGTGGTTTGCTTCTGCTCATTAAATGTTTTCAATATCACAAGCAATTATCAACTACTAGTATAGCAGTTAAAACGACGATTATGATGCTAATTAATAAACTCCTGCTATTCACCAGTTACTTTGAGCTATTTGCTGGGATAAGTTCAAAGAGAACCATTCCGATACGTCTGCAGGTTTTGAGCACATGTTTGGGAACGGGACTGGGTGTGCCGTGCAGCTCTGTAACGCTCTGATATTGGTCGCCCTCGCGGGGATCACGGGATCGGGTCACAGGGGGATCCTCTGCACTCTCTGCTCCCCTCTCCCGGGAGAGCCGGCCGATGAGCGGCTGTCCGAGCGGTGTGTGCTCAGCTGATCACCCAGTCCAGTCACGTGGCACATCCAACAGGTCACGTTCCAACGGCATGGGGGGCCGGTATGTCCCGGAGCATTCAATAAGGCACGATTTATCGCATGCGTCCTGCGAGCGGATACTCTAAGGCGGGATGCCGACGACGAAAAACAGGCTGAAGTAACACTGAGTGGCTCCGGGCACTGCTCTGAGTGGGTATTATTAGCGCCGCGTCAGTTGCACCGGAATGGTATTACGCGCGGCCAGCAGCTGCACACACGCGATCGGACGCGGCTGAAGGTGCCGCTCAGCGCTGAGCGCGCTCCAATAAGTGCCGCCGGGAGTGGCGCTATTCCAGTTCGGGGAGCAGACATCGGACGGACGGGAGCACGGCCGGCGCGCCGGACAGACGGGACAGACACCGGACAGAGGGACAGGCACCGGACAGACGCGGGATCCGGCGCGGTGCACAGGACAGGCACCGGACAGACGCGGGATCCGGCGCGGTGCACCGGACAGACGGGGACAGACACCGGACAGACGGGCACACGGCCGATCCACCAGGCAGGAGCGGGACGCGGCCGGACGGGACAGACACCGGACAGACGGGGGACACGACCGATCCACCAGACGGGAGCGGGACGCGGCCGGTCCACCGGCCGCGGGGTCGATGTGCCTCCACCGACCCGGCTCCGTATCCCCGCCGGCTGGCGCGCTCACCGGCTGTTTGGTCGATACGCGAGGTACGCCGTCCCAGGACAGACAGTCCCACTCCACACTAAACAGTCACAGTCAGCCGGCGTTCGACCCACCGCAGCTGAGATTGCCGAGTGAACTGATCTGTCAGCGGCCTCTTAACTCCCATTGGACGGTTGAAAGCCGTGCAGAAACACGCCGATAGTTGTCCAAATTGGTATGTATTGTTGACTCACTCGAACAACCGTAAGTCTGCACTGCGCAAGCGCAGCTTTGGATAGTGGAGGGCATTGACAATCGTACAAGCTCACCAACTTCGTCGACGAATGTCTTGTGTTGAGAAGTTCGGTTATTATCAGTTCGTCGATGGAGCTGATCGACCCTAGCGTGAATGATGCGAGGAAGCTGAGCCATTTAATTACATATTTCATAGTCACCGTTTACCCGGAGCCATCACATGTTACAGAGAGGACAATGTCGCTCTCGAGCCGCTCTGCGCCGTCGAGGTCGGACAGGACGTCACCCTCCCAGTCGGGCCGGGCGACGGGATCGACCAGGTCGGAGAAGACGTCCTCGTCCTCGACTCTCCAGGTGCCCTCCTCGGCGGGTGACGACTCCCCTCTGCGGAGCACGCCGCGGGACAGAGCAGAGGAGCCTCTGCACGCGCGCCTGCTGGCCGCCGCGCAGCGCGCCCCTGCCGGCGGCGGGGACTCTGAGTCGCCCTCCCCCTTCTTCTTCTTCTTCTTCTGCATCCCGCCGCCAGCCCGCTCAGGGGGGCGGCGGCGCAGGCGTGTCGAGCGGCGGCTCGGTCCGCCCGACACCCTCGATGAAGTCGACGACCCTCGCCGCCGGGCCGCCGAGGACGTCGACCAGGCGGGGGTCGACACCCCAGCGGCGGCGGCGGGCCGCCTCATAGGCCGGACAATCGGTCAGCAGGTGCGTCACGCTGTCGGGCTCCCCGCACGCGGGGCATTCGTCGTTGGCTGCCAGGCCAATCTTGTAGAGCGTGTCGCGCGTCAGCGGTGATGTGCCGGTCCTCAGCTGGGACAGCGTCACCGACCCCCAGCGCGCCAGGGAGTCGTGGCCAGGCGTGGGGTCCGGGTGCGGGTGGGCAGCGGTTGTCCTCCGTCGCGACAGCTCCCGGACATGGCGCGTGACGGCGGCCCGCGCACTCGATAGGTCAATCGGTGCGCTATCTTGGTCGCCCGCCGCGGCCTCGCCAGCCAGGCGGTCGGCGGTCTCGTTGCCGTCCAGCCCGGCATGGCCTGGCACCCACTGGAGCACCGTCTCGGTGCCGTTCTCGGCGAGGGTGTTCAGCAGCCTCCAGACCTCGGCGGCCAGAGCCATGGTCTGGCTAGCTGGGCCGCGGCCGAGTAGTTGTAGCCCAGACCTTGAGTCGGTGAGGAGGCGGACCGACTTGATTGATGCCAGCTCCCCTTCCTCCAGGCCGGCCACAGCCGCGAGCGCCTCGCGCATGGCGGTCAGCTCTGCTCTCAAGCTGGAGCAGACCGCCCCTGCAGGAGCGCGCACGGTTTCTTCATTGTTGAGGTGGTGAAACTGGATCAGCGCGCCTGCGCCGCCCTGTTCCATCCCGCCGCGAGCCGAGCCGTCCGACCAGATAGTAATATCCGGTTGCGGGAGCTCTGCAATGGCTCGCAGGGCAGCTTCCCTGCGGACTGCAGGCGGCTCCACACCGCTGTCACCCCGGCCGCGCACTGAGGTGAGCCCGCGGCCGGCGGCGGCCCCGGTGCCGCCGCTGCAGCTGCCGGCCGGCGGTGAGGGCTCGCGGCGCTCCACGCTGACCTCGTCGTGTCCGGTGTGGCCGCCCTCGTCTCGGCGGATCCGGCACGTGGACGAGGTGCTGTCGGAGACCTCCTCGCTGGCGCTGCTGCCCGTCAGTCCCGTGTCGGAGCTCTCCGACTGCTGGTCAGAGCACGCCGAGCTGTGGCCGCAGACGCCGCCCCCTCCCCCGCCGCCTCCCCCGCCGCTGGTGACGGGGGAGGGGAGGGACGGCGGGAGGCACCACCTGCACCAACTCTCCTCCAAACTGAGTCTGCTGGAGGCCTGCCGCCGGCCGGCGGAGATGTCAGCAGAGTTCGCCGCAGTGTTCGCAGCCCTGGACGGCGCCGCTCAGAGGGACCCGGGGCCCGCCGAGCTCAGGGCTGAGTTCTGCGGTGACGCCGGCCGGCCGCAGCGGCCGCGACGGTCGGTGACGCTGCGGAGACCGGCGGCGCCTCCCCGACCGCCCGACCCGGCCGCCGCCCGCTTCAGCGGACCCAAGGAGCGCCGCAAGAACGCCCTGCTACGCCGCGTCAACGGCTCGTCGGCGTTCTTTGAGTACCGCGACCCGGAGCGTGGTCGGTCGGCGCTGACACGACACCGCTGCGCGGCGGGCGGCCGGGCCGAGCCCCGGCGACGGCCCCACACCGCCCTGGCCGTCATCGACAGCGACGAGTTCCAGGTGACGGGCCCGACCTTCAACGAGCTGGTGGACCGTCCGCTGGACCCGGCCGGCACTGTGTTCGACTGGTTCGAGCTCAGCGAGCGGCTGAAGACCTGCGAGCTCTGGGTGGAGACCCGCAAACATCGACTGTGAAATGGTGATTTTTACTTACTGTAAATGGTTCATAGTGCAGTGTGCACAGTAGTCGCGCTTGCATAGCATTTTTGACGAGGCTCTAGCTCGTTTATTTGGCGATAATTTCGATGCAGTTGTCTTAATAATATTTAGAGGGGATCATTTTGTAAATTGTTAAGCACGATTGGCATCTTTTGCAACATCACGGGCGGAGATATAAGCTTGCAACAAACCCTATGTAACCGCGTCTAGTGTAAGCGCCAGTTAGCTATTTTGTACAGGAAGCTTCTACACCTAACGTTATTATTCACGCGACGGCGATATTGTCGATCATACGTCTGCCAGCAAAATGGCATATCACGACAGTTTTTAATTAGCCGTGATGTGATAATGTATCACCTCGTCACTCGGCTGCTGCCGCGGCCGGGCGTGTCATGTGTCGAGGGGTGTGCGGCCGGTCGACGGGGGTGTGGCCTTTCAAAGTGCGGTATCTCTGATACTGCCGATGCTGTCGTGACCCACACGGAGCTGCACCATTGCTCGACTGAGACGTGACTGAGCTGTCTGTTGCTTGTATCGTCGCTCAGTCGGACCTATTCACACTAAACGCGCTGAACGCCTGATGGGTAGGCAGCCCGCAGTACACGCTGAACGCCTGATGGATAGGCAGCCCGCAGTACACGCGCTGAACGCCTGATGGGTAGGCAGCCCGCAGTACACGCGCTGAACGCCTGATGGGTAGGCGGCCCGCAGTACACGCTGAACGCCTGATGGGTAGGCAGCCCGCAGTACACGCTGAGCGCCTGATGGGTAGGCAACCCGCAGTACACGCTGAGCGCCTGATGGGTAGGCAGCCCGCAGTACACGCTGAGCGCCTGATGGGTAGGCAGCCCGCAGTACACGCTGAACGTCTGATGGGTAGGCAGCCCGCAGTACACGCTGAACGCCTGATGGGTAGGCGGCCCGCAGTACACGCTGAACGCCTGATGGATAGGCAGCCCGCAGTACACGCTGAGCGCCTGATGGGTAGGCAGCCCGCAGTACACGCTGAACGCCTGATGGGCAGGCAGCCCGCAGTACACGCTGAGCGCCTGATGGGTAGGCAGCCCGCAGTACACGCTGAGCGCCTGATGGGTAGGCAGCCCGCAGTACACGCTGAGCGCCTGATGGGTAGGCAGCCCGCAGTACACGCTGAGCGCCTGATGGGTAGGCAGCCCGCAGTACACGCTGAGCGCCTGATGGGTAGGCAGCCCGCAGTACACGCTGAACGCCTGATGGGTAGGCAGCCCGCAATACACGCGCTGAGCGCCTGATGGGTAGGCAGCCCGCAGTACACGCTGAACGCCTGATGGGTAGGCAACCCGCAGTACACGCTGAGCGCCTGATGGGTAGGCAGCCCGCAGTACACGCTGAGCGCCTGATGGGTAGGCAGCCCGCAGTACACGCTGAACGCCTGATGGGTAGGCAGCCCGCAGTATACGCTGAGCGCCTGATGGGTAGGCAGCCCGCAGTACTCGCGCTGAACGCCTGATGGGTAGGCGGCCCGCAGTACACGCTGAGTGCCTGATGGGTAGGCAGCCCGCAGTACACGCTGAGCGCCTGATGGGTAGGCAGCCCGCAGTACACGCTGAGCGCCTGATGGGTAGGCAGCCCGCAGTACACGCTGAGCGCCTGATGGGTAGGCAACCCGCAAAGCTTCCCTGACCCGCAGTGCGAGTCGGGCGGTTCGTGGTCTCGTCGTTGGTTATGGCGCATCAGCATGGTCCCAGTTTTGGAGGTATGGCGAATTTCATTATTTTTGGCTTGAAGGTGATGATGACCGACGATATTGCTAACAATTTATGAATGAAATAGCTCGGTGAAAACAGTCCTGCAGCATAGGCTTTTAGCTACCTAATGCCCGAGCTGAACAGCAGAATAAATGAAATTTAAAAAGTGAATTATTCATTTTACGGCGACGGTAGACGTTGGAGTGAGTGGGTTTAGGTCTCCGTCAGAGCTGATCCGTTGACCGATTCCCCTGTCTGCACAGACTCGGCTCTGTCGGTACGTCTGGGCCGGGTGACGTCAGCCGTCACGGTTCGGTGACCAATATCCGGTGACCGGTGGCCGCGGTCGGTCGGAGCGCCGCCTGATCACCGCCCGGGCAATCAGCGCCGCCAAATCCCCGCGGCCGCGCCCCCGCCGCTGCCGCGTCTAATTACGATAAGACGCGAGCTCGGCCGACCTTCTCGTCCTCCGAGCGGGGCGGATCGGTGCCAGTAGACCGCGGCGCCGGTTAAATGGACGACATGTGTCGGCGGCGCGGCCTTCCGCGGAGCCCGGATGCGGGCGCCGCCGGACGGACATTGGGACGCGGCGGATCAGGGAAACGGAGCGCCCATCTGCACCGGGGATTACCCGAGCAATGAGGAACCAAACCAGGCAGTCTGGTCGTGTCGGCGTGCTCCACCGTTGTGTGCATTATGTAAGTCTTCCACGAGTATCATTACCGTAGGTATATCCCAGGAATGTCATTAGTCCATGTTTCACTTCGTAACATTCATGTTAGTTCAGTGTCTGCAGCCGCTATTTCACGCTTTGACAAGTAAAATGTCGACAGTTCATTGAACATTGTTTAAGTGAACCATTTCAGGAAGCATTTGCACGGCAGGACGCTAAGGTCCCAGGACTAATTTATGCGTGTCACGGACGGTTCTTGAAATATTATATAGGTACTCGGCAGCTTCAATCATTCAAGGGAACTTACTGGTCCCGGCAGATTATTGGTACCTACTTATATTGCTTTCCAGAGAGCGGTGTCCAAAGATCATTCAGAGATCTGCCAACTTTTGAAGCATTATTTCATCATGAACTGATAACTACTCGAGCTTTTACGACTCGCGACTAACGATGGCTTCATGCTTATGGCCAATGGCCATGGACCAGTGGTATACATATACGGTTAATGTATGTATTTATGCATGGAACATGAATGTCGCGCATCTTCGTGCCCAGCGGCCGATGCTCAAATCAATGTGCCGAAATATGACGCCGCCGGCCCGAATACCGGGTGCTGCGAGTCATATGCATGGCCCGGGGGGCCTCCAGTGCGCTGGCTATGCATACCGGCCCATGTCACCCGGCCACGTCCCACGCCCCACGTCCCACGTCCCACGTCTCACGTCCCACGTCCTCAGTGACGAGAGTCCGCCCCATGGATTACGTCAGAGCGCAGCCGAACCATACCGGATTGGCAGTCGGGCTGCTTCCTGGTTACACCGTAATCTGCATTCCAGTCGTGCTCGGCGACGGCTGAAGGGCGGCACAGAGCCTGACTTTCGGCTCAGCGGCTGATACCGTTGTGTGGATTGAGGACGGGAAGAGTCAGTTGAATTTGTCCACAGAGGCAGAGTATAAGACCAGTGGACCTGTGCAAACATTCATATGTGTACTAAGGTGCGTAACGTTCATAACGTTTGCCTTATCGACGGAAGTTGATGTCAGTCGAGGCCGGTGGCCGAGATCGGTGGTCTGCGCCGCCGTCCTACCCCAACCCGACTGCGGTTGTCGCGCGGCCCACAAAGTTCCGGTACACCGTCGTCTGAGCCTCTCCTTCAGCATTGGATCGATAGTGGCGAGTGAGCTCTCCTAACTCAACTACCGCCCCGCTGAGTGACTGCCGACCGGCGTATATACGCCGTACGGGCCGACTATCCACTCCGGCCCGGCCGACCAGCAAAACCACTCAAAGCCCGCGGCGTCCCCGGCAGGAGCCGCCCCCCCCCCCCTGCCTCCCCCGGCGGCAGGTGAGAGGGCCGGGATGCGCGCGTCGGAGCCGCCGCCGACGGCCGGGGGCCGGCCGGTGATCGCCAGCCTCGGCGCGCAGCACAACAGGTGGTGGCTGGGCCGCACAGAGGTGCCATGGGCTGACTGAGACCGACCTCTGAACGGACAGCGCAGGGACGACCGGCAGCGCGGGCACCGACGGCGGCCGAAACAGGTGCGGGAGCTGGGCCTGCAGAGCCGGCGAGCGGAGCTTATCGTGATGTGGTGGAGATAACTTTAAGTGCCTTTTAGGTAAGAGTTACCTTTACGAGGTTTTATTTTATGGTGACTTCTGATGCTCCGTGGGTTTGTGTTGAACGGGAACGTATCATGTGCTGATTTTCAGCTAAGACTATGACGGTATTCGTTAAACGGTAAAGGAATGAAGCTGGCATCTCTCGGCGTACACCAGTCATCGATGTACGAGTCACCTATGCACGAGTACCTATGTCTCGGAAATTTATAATGTTACGGTTGCCAGTGAAAAACGCACGCTACGATAAGGTGGGCACCGGTAGCCTATGTGCGCACTGTGCAGATACAAAGTGGGCGGTGTCACGAGTCATTTGTTGACCAATCACGTGCCAATTAGCGACGTCTGATGACGTCATTAACTGCGTGTCGTCTGCCCTAAGTGTCATCCGATAGGCCGGCTCATAACTGTCGGTATTCCCGGCACCGGACTAACTAGGTGGGCCCTGCGGTGGTGTGCATGTGTGTCTACGCATTTACGCGACGACGCATGACCTCGCATTACGTAAGTCAACATATAACCGTACTTTTTTCCACGGCGTATATCCTCTAAATATGTAAAGGCACGCGGTCATACGAAATCTAGCCTGTAGGAGTATGTAGATATAAGAGATAGAAAGAAAGGACAATAAACTAGAGCATTACAATCGTAACTACCTTAACTTGCTGACGGCATTCGTTTGTAGATAAATAAGGCAAAGAAAACATGAAAACATGATCGTAGTTTAAACGGTATTTTATGTTGCTTGGCGTACCTAAAGTAATAAAACGTTTAAAACAAGTAGGGATTTGTTTAATATGTGAATTGTGTCTTGTGATGCTCATAAAATCGGCTATTAGCATACACATACCCAGCAGCACACCTCACCTAGCTTTACTAGAAATAAACAGAATAACACCGTGAGTTACATCATCTATGGTTATAGCCACTTTAAGCGAACAGCGCGACGCTTAACCTGTTCTCGAGCTTATCGCCTCATCAAAGCCTCCGCCCCGTGCCAGTGTCTGCGACCCTGTCACTGTGAGGGGCTGGCCGTCTCGGGCTAGTGTCTGTGTCTGCGACCCTGTCACTGTGAGGGGCAGGCCGTCTCGGGCTAGTGCCTGACTCGCCGCTGTTACAGCACTGAAAACAATTTAACCCAAGGCCGGCGAGTAAAACGGTGTTTCGCGGGTACCCCTATCCGCAACCATTTTTAACCACCCTCCCAGGAGTACCTACAGTAAGGTCCCATTGCGGTGTAGTCGTCCCTGCTCTCAGCGGACATATTTGCTGACAGCGGTTATATCCGCTCAGAGCAAGTACGACTACACCGCCATGGGACCTAGCACTACTCCTGGGAGGGTGGTTAAAAATGGTTGCGGATAGGGGTACCCGTGAAACACCGATTTACTCGCCGGCCTTGGGTTAAATTGTTTTCAGTGAGGCCAGACTCCCAGCCGCCGTTACAGGAGGTCAGTCAGCAGACAGCAGAGGTCAGCGCGGTGTGAGCGGGCGGTGCCGACCGGCCGGCCGGCCCCGTCCCCGCCCGGGGGCGTCCATGAGCCTCCCTCTGCCGGCCTGCGACACCTGGACAATGCCAGGTACGGACCAGCGCCGCCCGGGATGTAACGAGCACTGCTGTCTAACGTGCTGTTCGCATAGAATCGGTAAATATTCCCGAGAAGGTGGCATTGTTTATGGTAGGTCGTTCTCGCACCTTTGGCGAGAAGCCAGAGGATGCCGAGTGCTGGCCCGCATAAATTGACGTGGGTGAAATCACTCGTTATACATTGGCTTCTTGTTGAGGGAGTTTTATGCATGCGTCTGCTTAAGTACAATTGCCCCCCAATTGTCGTGGAATGTAGCAGTTAACTGCTACATTTTTCCCTCGGCGTTACCCGGCCGTTACGCGGCTATCCACCACAGACTTACCTGCGTACTTAGGCTGTGCCGCACGCCGCCATGCTCTGCGGCGCAGCCTACCCTCTCAGCAGCGCTGAAACGAATCAGCTGCAGTGCTGTTTGATTTACCTACTTCTTACGGCGGGTTAGTTCAGTGACAGTGGCAGATGCGTGCAATTGACATTTCTTCTAGGGCTAACTCGAAGAGGTTAGTATCTGATTATTAACAATGTACCCTGCTAATTTAAATTGTCACTTATCCCACAAACGCCACGATATTGATGATCTGAGACTACAGAAACCTCAAACCACTCAAAAATAGTCCTCCATCTAAGAACTTAATACTTCAGACAGCGGATCCGGATCGGGACATCGGATATTGCAGCGGATCCTCTAGATAGGTAAGAGTGCATTTCAACCCGTCACAATAGGTACAGTGAGTCTGTCTGAATGCACAGCATTCCGGGTAAGTGCGCCACCCTCGCGTCAACACGTCTCCAAAAATCCACAAAATATGCCCGTCTTGGGACAGTCGTCTGCGGCCTGAATATTTCGGATGTACTCAGGTTAAGTGGCAGTCCATTAATCCGATTATAGAGATCACCGTGCCTATCTGATCATCCACTGCACAAATAGTACGGGAAGGTCCCAAATTTCCCCAGGGGCCAGGGTCGAATAACACCGATAGTGAACTGCACGGCTAAATTCATATTGCTCAGGTTCTTTCGTTGCGTTTTACCGTACCAATTGCTACGCATCTTTTAACTGCTCGCCTTACTGGGATATGTTTTTCCTACTTTATTCCCATTTCCGGTTCAATCGGTGCATGATTTCTTATATATTATCTCTCAAGTTTAATTACCTAAGTGATTTAGGAGATGGTAATATGACATTCCCTGTGTAAACTCTGTTACTGTTTTATTATCCCGTGTGGCCTTTGTGACCTTCCCCATGAGCCGCCCGTGAGTTCACCGTGTGTTCCCTGTGATGTGTCCTGTGTGACCGCTGTGATTTCCGCTGTACTGTGACCGTGAGTTAGCGGTGTGGACTCGCTCGGTCGCGCTGTTGACCGCGACGTATCACGGCACACCCCATCGATCGCCTTTCCGATGACCCGTGTCATGCGACATGATCTGCCGCCGGCCATCTGTCCCGGCCCGCCGCTCCCGACCGGCCCCGGCTGGCCCGGACAGAGTGGTGCCAGGGGTGGGACTGGCCCGGACCGAGTGATGGCTGGGGTGGGACTGGCCCCAGACCGGACAGAGTGTTGCCAGGGGTGGGACTGGCCCGGGCTGGCCCGGACAGAGTGATGGCTGGGCCGGGACTCATCGGAGAGTGGATACCTACTGAACGACGACAGATGATACCAGCTAGATATTAAATAGAGAACCATGTAGTTTCTGTCGCTTTCTTAATCGATTCATGCCATTCCGAAATTGGTTTGAGCGTAGAAGATTCTGATTAGTTCTCACTTATACGGTTATTTATGCAGATAATTTAGGAATTCAACACACTCGAAGAGATGTCCGTCACCACGATACGACCACGGTGGCTGAGGTCGCTGACCTGACCCGTGTCCCCGCCTTGCAGTGAACCTGACGGACGGGCCGGCGGGCGGTGACCCGTCGGCGGAGCGGTCAGAGGTCGCCCCACCGATCGCCGCCGGCCCCGTCCGGCCCGAGGAGATGGTCCTGGTGGCGTCCGCACTGGTCATCTGGGTGGCCGCCATCCTGCTCTGCGTGCACAGGTGAGACAGGAGTGGAGTCACCCTGCGTGCACAGGAGTCTCAAATGGAGATGCTCGGTTTGTACAGGTCAGTCTGTGCACAGGCCACAGGTGAGGAGGGAATGGAGAGACGCTCTGTGTTTGAAGGTCAGTCAGTGCAAAATGGAGTCTGAGATCGCAATAGAAGGAGACCATGCTGCGAACAGTGAATAAACGTCGAACTATATTGCATTCGCACAGGATATTCAGCAGTCCATTATGCACGTGTACTTAATGCTCTCCTGCCCGTTTCAAATCGGTGACAGATATTCATTTTACAGGTGGGGAAAGATAAGAATGCTGGAGCCATATCTTCCCGATTATAACGACCCAACGTCACAGGTTAGTGGATAGCCACATTACAGGCTGAATAGACGTGTTTAAGATAGGATAATCTTTAATTCGAGTTAAACGGTTACTTTGGGCTTGTAGCCGATCCAACGAAGAAGCGTAGCTTGATTCGCAGCTGGAAGTAATTACGACTTGGTGAAAAGCAACTTATGAAGACGTGTGACCGAAATGCTCCCCCTGCTCTGTGCCGTGTACCATTTGTTAGGTACTAATCCGGTCGTGACTGGTCGTGGAGCCCCTCTCCGTCGCCGTCTGACCCGTCCCCCGTCTCTCCGTGTGTCCGGGCAGAAGGGCGGTCTGCTCACTGCTCAGTGCGCAGTGGTCAGTGCTCAGTGCGCAGTGGTCAGTGCCCGTCCCCATCTGACAGGGTACGTCTGACCCGTCCCTGTCTCTCCGTGTGTCCCCGTCTCTCTGGCAGAAGGGCGGTCTGCTGATGGACGCCAGTCCGGCGCTGGCCTTCAGTCGCCTGCACTCGCCGCTGATCCCCATGGTGCACTGTCCGCACGGCCGCGGCAGCATGGCCTGCCAGCACTCGCAGTCCACGTCGCGGCTGCTCTCGCACGCGCGCGACGCCTGCGCGCTGGCGGCCGCGCGCAAAACCCGCTCGGCCGACAGTCTGGTGACGCACACCATACACGTGCACCCGCCCAACTCGCTGCTCTAGGGCTGAAAGGGGAACTCCTGTGGGGCGGCAGGGGAGCTCTAGTGGGGCGGCAGGGGAGCTCCAGTGGGGCGGCAGGGGAGCTCGTGGGGCTGAAGGGGAGCTCCAGTGGGGCGGCACGGGCACCGCGGCTAGTCGCTCCGGTAGGACGGCAAGGGGGCTCCTGGGAGCGACTGCATATAGTGTATCGTGTGCTTTATAGCGAAGACGGCGGATCGCCGGCCGTACTCGTATTTGGTCCGTCAACTCGGCGAACCATGGTGGTGCGGCGAGACGGGTGTAAAACCGTCACCAAAGACCGGATCGTGTATACTTTTGTAAAATGATGACCGCGCAGTGCAGTGACTATACGATAGCCAGCTTCGTCCTTAGTCGAGGGCCACTGGCCTTGTGTGGGTTGCAGAGAGGTGTCACTCGCATGTGGTATGTCTTCTGGAGGAGACTGTGTGCCAGCTCAGAGTGCGCCGCTGTCTAACGAGAGCGGCGTAACGTATACTCGTATGCATGGTCGATGTGGGACATGTGCGCAGTGAGATCGCTTCGACGCAGAAAATGACGCAGAAAAGTACGACGGATTTGACATATTTTGTGAGTCGTTTGTATTGTATATTGCATAGTTGGGTACCTACCTAGTACCTATATTGGCTATCCATTGGAATGCTAATTAAAAATATGGAAGCTTAATACCCGAATACCTATAGTTATATTAACATGAGATATAAGTTGCACGAAAATTAGGTCGAACTAACATGTAATAAATAAATGCATAATGATAATTAAGCGTAACGCTTTCAGCTCTGGTAATTGATTGATCTGCAGAAATATCGGGAAGTAGGCATGTAATTGGTATAGGTCAACAATTGAAACAAACGGTATTTTCTTCCATGCGATCCCATCCCGAAAGTATATCGGTGTTTGTCCTATTAACATTTTATCAGTGGTTTCCGCATGCGATAGGATGAGCGATAAACGATAAACGATAATTATCGCTGTTTAGTAAATCGGTTATCGTTATCGTTTTTCGCTAATTTTTCAAAATTATCGCTCATCCACTTATCGCAAGTTACAAAAATTATGAACGATAAACGATAAAATGTAAAACGGGATTAAAAAATGGAAGACGATCGACAGTGTATGCCGCCCGACAGTATGTGTGCGCGGTGTGCGCACTGCGCAGCCTGTTGTCATCTGCTAAGTGTATAGATCTGCAAAAAAAAACTTTTTAAGTACACTTATTTAAGCTGTATTTCTTATCGCTTTTGTTATCGCTTTTGAAAAACAATTATCGTTATCGTTGTATCGTTTATCGTTTCGTTATCGCTGTTAAAAAACAATTATAGTTATCGTTTTATCGTGTTATCGCTACCGCCGTTATTTTCTTATCGTTTATCGTTTATCGTTATCGCAAACCTTTCTTATCGTTTTATCGTTATCGCAGGTCCGAAAATAAGTTATCGCGGAAAGCACTGCATTTTATACGGCTCCCTTATCTTATCGGATACGAATGACATTACCTGTCTTGGTGGTATTCAGGGGAAAAAATATAAGTACGATTTATTCTGAAAAATTATGCGTATTGGTTACAACAAACATATCGACTTAACACTTAATAAATCAAAAGAAAGTAATTGTTCATTAGTACTTAGTTGGTAGGTAACCAGCCGAGAGCCGTACCAGACGCTTTTTTCTTCTTTGGCTGCAACCTTCCTTTGAACTAGTCTTGCTTTGAACGTCACCTAAACACGATGGCGGCTCGGCTCTCAAAACAAACCGGCTCGTTGTTTTGAAACCGTCAAATCTCATCTGTCCCCGAGCACTCAGTTGGTGAGCGTTATTGCTCTCCAGGGTGGTGTGTCGGCGTCATGGCTCGCTGGGGACCTCCCCTCCCCTGCTGTCCGATGGGACCTCCCTCCCCTCCCGGCTGCTGTCGGGCAGTGACCTTCATCGGCCTCCCGAGCTGTTAGCTGCAGGGCCTTTTGTTTGTTTGGTTGGGTTAGGCCCTTTCGGTCCATTTAGACCATTTCAGAGCCGGAAGGATGATAGGAACTAGGGGGAGACATTGGTCTGGGCAGGCACCCTAGTGAGTCACCGGGGCTGAGCCTGGTCCCGAAGGACAGGCCGACCAGCGACCAGCCCCAAAGTACTCACTGCACCCGGCTACGGGGTGCGCTCCCTCGGGAGCAGCGGTGCCGCTCCAAGGGAGCAGCCCGCATGAGAATTGCCTGTCCAGCCCGGAGGGGGTTGCGGCTCCTGAGGATAGAAGCACGGAACGGGTGCAGGGCCTCCCCCTCCGCGAACCAGGTAGGATCGGAGGCGGGCTCCGATACTAGGATGAGCGAGGGAGAGAGGGGACGGAGAAAGAGCGAGGGAGGGAGAGGGATGGAAAGAGAATAGGAGAGAAAGAGAGCAACATGTTTTCTTCATAATCCTAATGTGCACCTGCACAGTAAATGCTATCTAATTGTGCTCAATTGAAGTCCATTTACACTAAAAGGGCTGTACCGTTTATAATTAGGTACCTATATTCACCGGTGCATGTATGTATCGGTGAATATATGTAGGCAGCATGTATGTGTGATGTGCGCCCCGCCGTCCCGTCGGTCGATGGCGGAGACTGTATTTTTAGCGGCTGCCTCTGATGTTGTGTCGCAGCAGTTGTTGGATCTGCAGCCGCCGCCGTCTGCCGTCCGGTGCATTATAACTCACACGAAAGACGGCGAGGGACACTGGGCACTGGGCAGTGAGCTTGGACAGCCGGACTGTGCAACTCTTGCCGACTGATGACAAACATACGACAGTTTTTTTTCTAAATATCCCATTTATGACTTCTTGGCGCCACAACAGCTGTGGTCGCTTAAAGGTCTCAGCGGATATAACGCCCTGCATTATTAGCGCTACATGTTTCATGTAGCCAAGGCCCAAGCTAAATTTAGGTTTCGCCGAACATAAACCTAAATGAGCTCAATCGCAATCCACATCAAGATAGATGATAAAACGAAGCTATTTTCTGATTTCTCGGTATATGTAGTCTGAGCAGCCGGAGCGCGCGCAGTCCGCTCCGCCGTGTCCGTGTCCGGCGGCGCGGCGCCGAGTCCGACCCCGCGCCGGCAGCGCTGCCTGCACCCACACCCATCCGCCGCCGACCCCGCGCCGGCAGCGCTGCCTGCACCCACACCCATCCGGCGCCGGGACTCCGCCGGTGCACCGGTGATTGCGTTATTACGGCGCGGACCCTTTCACACGGCATCCGCCCGGCCTCCGCTCGACCTCACACCGCGCCGGAGGAGGGACGGGACGGGACGGGACGGCTAGGGGTGGGACAGCTGGGAGTGGGACGTGACGGGACGGCTAGGGATGGGACAGCTGAGAGTGGGACAGCTGAGAGTGGGACGGGACGGTCTGGGGTGGGACAGCTGGGAGTGGGACGGGACGGAATTGCTGGGAGTGGGACAGCTGAGAGTGGGACGGGACGGGACGGTTGGGAGTGGGACAGCTGAGAGTGGGACGGGACGGGACGGCTGGGAGTGGGACAGCTGAGAGTGGGACGGGACGGCTAGGGGTGGTGGGACAGCTGAGAGTGGGACGGGACGGGACGGTTGGGAGTGGGACAGCTGAGAGTGCGGAAGGGCCGAGAGGACGGGATGGGAGCGGGACGGGTGTCTTTAGAGTGGGGAGGGACGGCTTACATAGGCTGGGACAGTTCACCTAGACGACTGAGTGTCCGGCCGGCGGCCGGTCTATATCAGACGCGACCCTTCCAGCGCCGCTGGTATGCACAATTCGTCCCACTGACCGCCCCCGCGCGGCTCCCGCGACCGGACACGTGCTCTCTGTCCCGAGTCCCGTCTGTGTGCCGGCAAACGGCGACCACCGTCCATCTGTCAGACGGACTGACGATCGGTCAGACCGACTGATGATCGGTCAGACGGACTGATCACCGGCTGACGGCAGCCGGACGCACGCACGGACCGGTACGTGACGGATCACAGGTGGGGGCGGACGGTACGGAGAACAGCTCGGGGAGAACGGAGGGAGGGGAGGAGACGGAGGGAGAATTGGGAAGGTAGATCATGTCAAACTTCTGGGATTGGACATAGTTCTGTATAGATGCCTACCGACTCGACCATTTAATGTAAGTAGGTAAATACGCATGTAAAAAAAAAACTTTGTATTCATGGCAATTGAACGTCAGGTCTCGGTCAAATTGATTAAAATGTTTTGCAATGACTGACGTGCAGAAGCCTTGTCAGTGCAGTGTTGCCGACGTCAGCAAAGTCGACATACACAACGGAGAGCAGCTGCGGGCTTTCTGGCGCGGCCGGCACTCAGCGCCCGGCTCCGGTCAGCCCGTCTCCGGTCAGACGGCAGAGTGAGCGCCGCACACGAGACGGCCGCCCCTTTTGTCCTCGGCTGCCCGGCCGCTTTGAGTTAGCGCCACCAGGCATGAACAGAGAAGGTCGCAGGGTCAACGGAAGGTCACCAGGTCGGAGCTGATCACCGGCGGCGCAGACGACTTCCGAAACATGCTGCCGTGGCTCGCAAAGCGGAATGACGATGATGGGGTTGGTCTCCTGGGAGAAATAAGTTCTGAGTTCTGAATTCTTTTCAGAGATGCTCTTTTGAAAGTAAGAGACCAGGTGATTAGGCTGGACCTTTTAAGGCATTTTTCGGTCCTTGGACATTTCTCCCTTAACCGTCCTCAGACGACGGAAGAGATACGTTGGTCATTTATCCGGTGTTTTTATCGCTCTTTGTGGCTTCTACGCGCTGATTTTGTGATAATGAAACATTTTGATCTTCAGACAATTTCGCTAACTAAAAAATTGACCGGCTGCGGCAATTTGCCACGTTTTTCTTCTTCTTCCTTTCATCGCCATTCGCTTATTTCGCCACGCGATTTAGCGGGTCAATCCTCAATATCATATCAATATTTTCAACGTGTTATTCCTACGATGAAGTAAAAGGTGTAGGTAAAATGAAGGAATATGGTAGCGCTTAGTAAGTCAAATAATACGCTGCCTAGTCAAACAACGGCGCATTGTTGCAAAGAGGCGGGGTTTCGGTTTTTTGCATGGTGCGCTTGGTGTGGATTTTTGGTTTTTATGGGCCTGTTCCAGCGCCTCCAGAAACCTCCAGAAACCTCCAGAAAGCTCTAGAATCCTCCAGAGAGCGTTCCAGCGCCTCCAGAAAGCTCCAGAAAGCTCTTGCCAAAGCTCCAGAAACCTCCAGTAGCCTCCAGAGAGTTGAGAGGTCCAAATTTCTCTGGAGGCTCTGGTCTACAATTATGGCGCACATGTGACAATCACGAATGTAAACAAAGGACATTTGACTGATTATTTTACAACTTGAATGTAAAGAAAATTACATTGCTATAATTTTATTTATCTTTTTAACTAAAATCGAAAACAAATTTTGCGTTTCAAGAGAGAACAATCGTCATTCTCTTGGTATCTATGACGCCAATCTCCAGAAATCTCCAGATTGCGTTCCAGCGCCTCCAGTAAAACCTCTGGTAGAGCCTCCAGTCAAGAATTTCTTCTGGAGGCGCTGGAACAGGCCCTATGTAATTTTTGTCAATTCTGTTGATTGAATTTTGATACTGAAGGTGGGAAATCGTTTGTGAAATCATGCTCATAATGAATTAAGCGTTGATGTCATTTTTTGAATTTTATTGCTTTGGGAATAAGGATGTAGCTTTGATAGGTACCTACCCAACAGTTCAAGTTGCAGTGTAGTGATAATTCAAATTCGAATTGATTTTCAGCCAGTAAATAGGAGGGCTGTTCACGGACCCTGTGTGCGGTCGGACCGCACACAGCCTCCAAGCTCCGCCCACTGCGTCCCTACGTCAGCCTTGCGTCACCGCACACAGCGACCGCTGTGGCCGGTCGGGACTGGCCACAGCGGACCGTCCACCGCACGCAGCCGTGACGTCAGAGCCGCCTACCCATCCCCTACCCCCACGCCTGCTGGACGTACCGCACACACCGCACGCAGCAGTGTGCGGTGCCCGTGAACACCCCTAGGGATGAGTGGCAATTCCTGTTCAGATTCAAACAACAATTCTTATTGAATTCAAACGATGAAAAGGGTGGAAATTATGCAAGCATGAAAGATGCCTTCTCGTCATGCTTGTACGCCCTTGCCCTGCTGGGGTGTTCAAACATCTCCCTCTATTCACCTAAGGTCAAATCTGAGCTAGCCAGAAAGACCATTCAAAGGGCTATCAAATGCGCTTTTCTCCGGTGCTGTATCAACATAATTCCTGAGCTATGTGTTGGTTTGTAGACAATTATCAAAGTTTGACCTGGAAAGTAGCTTTAATTATTTTTGGCACTCTTTCAAATGCTCAGGAGCTGAGTTAGAAAGGGGTGTTAAAACATTCCCAGAGAGCCAGAGAGTGTGGAAATCCAGCCAGGACCCCCTGCAGGGTGTGGGCTAAGCTTGATTGAGCAAAGGGGCAAAATATTTGTGTCGTAGGTAATGATTGTATTGGATCATACCTATGTACCTGACAGGGAAGCAAGAAAGGTGAATGACAGCATTTGGATACCCAGGCAATGTCCGTAAAAACTGAACAAACACCAGGGAACTCGGAGAAGATGGTCCGCATAAGAATTGTGAAGGAACTGCCGGACAAGACACCTGCTGCCTCCAAATCAGGAAGTCATAGCTGTGACCACTGTCAACTTATCTTCCTCACTGCAACACAATTAAAGATGTACGTATAAATATTAACGTTCATAATTAGCAGCTGTTCATAAAATCAAAAGATGCCTTAGGTGTCCCTCGGCTGTGGAATTTATGCAATTTGTATTTGTTAAGCACAACTAGTGAGACATAGCAGTAGATGATTCCAAGATCACTTAGATCATAACACAACCTCTCTCAAGACACAACCGGCTGCCCTAGCAGAGCCAAAGTGTAACTATAACTAGCATGTGCATTGTGCAGCTTTACTCATATTTACCCATTTATGGAATACCTACAGTGAAATAAATGCTCGAAGATGAAATACTGGAGGCAGATTAGTTCTGTGTACCAATTTGTATGCCTCAACTGATCAGACCTCTCTCTGCAGACACCTTCTGGAGTGTCACATGGACGAGGCAACCAACAGCTGTAAGGACTGCTTCAGGACGTTCCAACGAGTGGAGGCACTCCAAAGACATGTCATGGAACGCATCTGTGTCTCCAAGCGCGTGTAAGACACTGATATATGGGCCATTGGGCCACTGCTAGTGTTAATTCCCCATGAGTCAATCTTCCGTCCCCCGTTAAGTGTTTACCGCTGACCTCTCCCTCTGTCCAACCTCCAATGTCCTTTCCCACCCGTCACCCAGTCCCAGTTCTCTGAGCCCCCCCCCCCTCTCCCGTCAGTGTATGACAGATACCTGTCCGGCCCTGTTTCAGCGTGCCGTGCCCGTACTGCGCCGCCCCGTTCCCGAACCGCTCCAAGCTGGCCACGCACGTGTCCACGGTGCACCTGCGCGCGCCGCGCTCGGTGCTGTGTGACGCGTGTGGCGCCGTGTTCAGTCGGCGCGGCGCGCTGCACCGCCACCTGGACACCATGCACGGCGGGCGCGCCGGTGGCCCTGACGGCGGCCCGGTGGCGCCGCGCCGCTGCCCGCTCTGCCCGGCCGCCTTCCGCGCCGTGGATAACCTGCAGCGCCACCTGGTGAGCCGACACGCCAACTGGAAGCGCTGGATGTGCTCGCTGTGCCGTCAGACGTACAACCACAGCGTCGACCTGAAGCGGCACGTGCTGAAGAAACACGGACTGGTGCTGCCGGCCATCACGGGCAGGAGGAAAAAGAACATTTTGGATGTGAGTTTACACACCCGACGGCCAACAGGTGCGAGCTCTGCTCGCCGATATGCTCAGTCATAAGGGTAATTATAACCTACAAAGGGACAGATAGCACTGAATATGGGCCTTTCCTTTTTCGATGATTCTCGGAGGCATGTTTTACCAGAGTAATAAAGCTGTGTTTGTTAATGCTAATATTCTCTGGGTTTAGCAATGGATGTTTCAGTCTTCCATTTTGTTCTCTGAAGATATTGCCGCCCTATACCGATATCGCGAGTCCCGCTGGTATGCCAGCTGACCCTTCGCTCCCCGCCGTCGGTCTGACGCCGGGCCCGGTCCGGGGTGTTCTCAGATGCACGTGCTGCCGGGGCCGGCCGAGGCGGCGCCGCTGCCGCCGGCGCTGGCGGAGCGGCAGCGCCAGCTGCGCCGGCTGCTGGCTATGGTGCCGACGGGCCGCTACGACCCGGAGCTGCTGGCCGTGTTCGGCCGGCTGCCGCTGGCCAGACCGGGCGTCAAACAGGCGCAGCCGGGCACCGAGCTGACGGCCGAGCTGACCGCCGAGCCCGAGCCGGTCGTGGTGGACGGAGACCCCACCGAGCCGGTCGCGGCGGACGGAGACCTCACCGAGCCGCGAGTCGAGGTGCAGTTCGTGGAGCGGTGTCCGCCCGACACGCCCGAACACGTCACCGAGAGCCGGGAGGAGCTGGAGCGGTCCGCCGCGCCGCCGGAGCAGGCGGTACCGGTCGGCCAGCCGGTACCGGTCGGGGTGGTGGGGACCGTGGAGGTGGTGGAGCGGCCGCTGCTGCTGTCCGCCCCCGTGCTGGTCATGGGCGGCGGCGCGGCCGGTCTGCCGCTGCTCCTGCTGCCGCCCCCGCCTCCGCCGCCGCCCCCGCCGACTGTGCGGCTCGCGCTGCCGCCGTCTGTGTCTGCGCCGGTGCAGAGGTACCGCCGCCGGACCATAGGTCGGCGGGCGACCGCCGAGGAGGTAAGAATGGCGCGGGGAGAGCAGGCCCCGCCGGCAGCCCCGCCGGCGCCCCCGTGGGTGCTGCTGCCCGCCCAGCCGTCCGCCCCCTGCGAACCCGTCACCAGTTTCTCCCTGGTGAAGGCCCAGGAGACGGGAGCCGTCACTCTGGTGGCGGTCCCGGGCGGCGCGGCGGCGGCGGAGCCCGGGTCGGCCGATGGGCGCACCCTATCCGTACTGACGGGGGCCGGGGAGGGCGGAGCGCCGCTGGTACTCACCGAGCTCCCCCCGCCGGCCGATGCCGCCCCGCAGCAGCCGCCGCCGGCGGCGACCTCTCGGGAGGCGGAACCCGTCGGTCCGGACCCAGCAGTCAGCCGCGCAGAAGTGACCGGCCACCCGCCGGCGAGAGAGGGAGTCATGGCGCCCGAACACGGTGATCTCACGGAGTCGGCAGCTGGGAGGGACGCGGCGACAGAGCAGGAGAGAGTACCTGAGGGAGAGCCGGAGACAGCACCGGAGGGAGCACCGGAGGGAGCGCCGGAGGTCCCCCTGGTCACTGAGGGAACGGCTGCTGAACAGGGACAGGTGATTATAGGGACGGCGGCACTGCGGGATCAAATTGTTACCGAGACGCCGGTCCGGCACAAGCAGAGAATGACCGCAACGGCGGCTCGCCCAAAGCGAGTAGTGACTAGGGCGGCGGCTCAGCAGAAGCAGATGAGGGTTGAGTCGGCCCTCCAAGATCAGCAGAGAATGAATGAGGCAGTGGCCCACTCGGAACAGGTGTTTACTGAGGCAATGGCTCACCCAGAGCAGATGGCTGCTGAGACAGTGGCTCGCCCAGAGCAGTTGGCTACTGAGACAGTGGCTCAGCCAGAGCGGGTGGCTGCTGAGGCAGTGGCTCAGCCAGAGCGGATGGCTGCTGAGACAGTGGCTCACTCGGAGCGGGTGGTTACTGAGACAGTGGCTCACTCGGAGCAGATGGTTACTGAGACAGTGGTTCACCCGGAGCGGATGATGTTAGTGGATTCGATGTTGCGGGCTGAGGACGATGGTACGGGTAAGGGGTGTTTGGATGATGGTCACCAGACTAGGACAGCGAAGGAGGAGGGCGAAGTGGCGGTGATGCAGGAGAGTCGTGTGATGACTGTGAAACAGAGGGAAAGTGTGGCGACGGTGAGGAAGGAGGATCGTGTGATAAAGGCAGGGGATCGGGAGGATCGGGAGGACCGTACGAGGACAGCGGATCAGAAGGATCTTACTAGGATAATGGATCGGGAAGATCGCACGATGGAGACAGTTGCAAGCCACCGTCCCCAGGAGGACGGTGATTTTGAGCTTGATGGGGAAAGTGCAGTGAGGATAATTGATAGAAGTGGGAGGGCAGCGTGTGAAACAAGTGCTCCGAGGGAAGCCGCTGAAGAGGACGGACAATCTCTCATAGTGGACGAGGGGGTGGTTGTACCATCAGAATTTGCATTTGTTGCCGATACTTCCCACCGGTTTGCGATCGCCTTCAGGGAAAATGAAATGATTCGCGCCAGAAAATACCCTCAGCCCAGTCACTCAAGTAACAGCCTGGCTGCGGATGACGAGACTCCAGGACGGAAAGCCGATGGTGCTGGTGCGCCCCCTGCTGCGAAGCTCACCAAACCGCGAGTGGCGCGGACGAGGTCCGGTCGAGCTGTCCGCTCCAAAGTACGTCTCTCTACCTCAGTGTCTGAGCCTGACGAGCGACCTGAGCAGCCGGCGCGGACGCCAACCAAACGATTCAGCCGTCCGCGGGCTGAGCGCGCTCCCTCGCCGTGCGAGGACGACCCGCCGGCAGCTGCGGAGGACCGCCGCCGCAGCGGCTCGGGGGCGGCGCAGCCGGCTCCGCCCGGGGAGGGTGCGCGCGTGCCTCCGCTCGAGTCCGCCGCTGCCCCGGCGGCTCCCCCGGCGGCCCCGCCGGTCCCCAGGCGCAGCTGGACGCCGTGGGCGGGCGGCCGCGGCAAGGGCCTGCTGCCGCGCGTGCTGGTGCGTATGGACGAGCACGGAGCGCCGCGCACGCTGGCCCTGCTGGCCACCTCCCTGTCGGTGCGCTCGGAGGCCGACCGGCGTCAGTCGCGCTACCCGTGCATCGTCTGCGAGCGGCCGCAGCGCTCCAAGACCAGCCTGCGCGCCCACCTGGTGTCCCACACGGGCGAGAGGCCGTTCCAGTGCTCCGCCTGCCCGGCCGCGTTCCGGCACTTTGCCAACGCGCGCGGCCACCTGCGCCGGCACACGGCGGCTCGGTGCGCGTGTGACGTCTGCGGCCGGACGTTCCTGCTGCGGGCCGACCTGCGGCGGCACCAGCGCACCCACAGCCAGCGGCCGAAGCTCGCCTGCCACCTGTGTCCGTCCACCTTCAGCCGGGCCGACAACCTGGCCAGACACGTGCGTGTGGCGCACGGCGCCGAGCCGCCGCCCACCCACCGCTGTGACCTCTGTCAGAAGGAGTTCAAAACGGAGGCGTGGCTCAAACAGCACATGACCATTCACAAAGGTGAGACAGGAGTCTTGTCCGATTGTGTAGGGCAGCGCTGGGCGGGGGGAGATGACTCATGACTGTCTATACAGTCTGCACTGGGCTGGAGATTAACCGTCTGGTCAATGCTGAGTGCCCTCGAGCGAAACTGATGTAACATTTCTGACTACTTTCAGTAGCCAGTTGCTACTGGTGAAATTGTTCCAGAGTAGCCTGTTACCCGTAGTGTCTTTAACATTTTTTTTTATACACCTGTATTTTCGATTTTCTTTATGACCTTAAAACTCCTGTACTATTCTTGTTATTTTGGAACGCTCGTTCCTTACGTGTCAACCCTCATATATATAATTGGCTGGTTCATCTGCTGTGATATCTGATGTGTGTGCCCCACCTGTCTCGACAGCGGCGAGGGAGCACGTGTGCGCCCAGTGCGGTCGGAAGTTCGCGCTGCGCTCCTACCTGGAGCGGCATCTCAAGTCTCACGGCCAGACGCGCGTCTACTGTGACCTCTGTCCGCGCCGCTTCATCAACATCAAAAACCTGACGGTGAGCCGACAATATGGAGACGAGTCCGGGACTGCGTAACATCTGGCCTCGCGAGCCCAGTTATCAAGCCCACCCCATTCCGTAACCGTGGTCCCGTTGGATCGTAGTTTTAGTGAGGCATCGTTTGAGCTGCGTCTTACAGTTGATCCACTCTCTGCCCTCACCCCGTCTCTGTCTCTGCTGACTCCCGTCCCCTGCCCTCGCTCAGGTGCACCGTCAGACGTTTCACCGTAACCCGGTGCCCCTGAGTGCCGAGGAGCAGCGGCGGGCGGCCGAGCCGCGTCCCGAGCCGGCGCGCCGCTCCCCGTCCCCGCCGCCGGCCGGCGTGCGGCCGCGGCGTATCAGCCTGGAGATCGTCAGGAGCCGCCGGCCGCCGCGCCGCCTCCTCCAGGAGACAGAGCGGGAGGAGGAGCGGGAGGACGGGGAGAGTGAGGAGAGCGGCGGCAGTGATGAGGAGTGGACGCCCGACCGGCGGTAAGCGCCTCCCTCCCGGCGGGCTCGGTAGTGATCTCACACTCGCGCGGTACTCTTGACTGTGCTCTGCGTTGTACCTAGTCGATCAAGATGTACTGATACCACTGGCTGTGCAAACTTTTTGACCTTTTTTTACCCCGCTGGTTTATTTGTTGATTGGTTGGTTAGATGAGACACGGGTTCTTCTGGGGGGGGGGGGGGGGTGAATCTGATTTAGATTTTCTTAATCGGACCCGTAACCAAGATAGATGCATTTTGTGCTGGCCATAACGATTGTACTTCAGGGATAATAGCCAGGAGGGTTTTGATTTGTGCGTCATTTGTGTGTGACTCAGGGAAGGGATTAGTGGGGAAAGGATCCGCTCGCTCCCTGTTGGTGATTGTGCTGATCACATTGAATGTGCGGATTTGATTAAATATTGAGCGATATTTATGACTGTTGAGTGATCCATTGCAGCATTCTTCCAAGCTATGAATGACTGTATTGTCTCTATGAAGTCACGGAATGTCACTGCAGTGGTTGCACTGCGCTGGCCATGCTATCTGTTTCTGGTTAACACATTTATGACTTTTGGTTAAAAAAATAGACTGAAATTAGCCAATCTAGTGTCGTGAATGGAGATATTCCAACTGCTTCGAGTTGAGGCGAACAGAACCCTCCGTGTCGCACCTAATCCCGCGTGTGACAGAATTCCACACAGTCCGTCCATTTGACACACGGAGAAACACCGCCAGTTCCACGTTCCGCACGCTCGCCGCTAGTTATATTTCCAGCCAATCACTCCTTCAAATATGCTACAGAGTAAAAAAGAAATCGACATTTCGTTGGCGTGCGCGCGCACGTCTCGTCAAAGACCTAGGTAATGACCCGGGCGGCCGGTGGCGCCGCCCGGGGTGCTAACACTGCCGGCGCCTCTCAGCGGTTGGCCGTGCTCTATGGGTTCGCTGGGATGGGGCCGGGGGGTGGGGGTCTCGGAGGGGGGGGGGGGGGCAGGCCGCCACCAGAGGGCCCGGCCTGGCGCGTCTGCCGCAGAGTTCAGTCGCCCGGCGCCGCCTCAGACCGAACCAAGGCTTCACAGGTCCACCGCCAGGAGGAGAGAACACAACACGACAGGGCCGCTCGCCACCAAACGGAAACAACAGACGTAACAAGCCACCGCTACAGCAAATCAGGAGCGTAAAGACTCGTCCTCATCAAGTGCAGAAATACAGCACAGAAATAACAGGCGCGGATAAGGGTACGCTAGTTTCAGCGCACCGACTCTGATAGACCGAATCGGACCTCGCGGTAGGTCGTCCACAGTGATTGCGAATACCGCCGGAAAAGGAAAACGATTCACCTATCAAAATACACTATCGGTGTGCTCGGACATCGGCCAACAGTCGCGGACGTAGACAGAAAACTGCCGGCGGCCGCTGCCGACCCGAGACGGGGACAGAGCACAGAGAGCGCGACAGAGCGGGGGAGGAGAGGCGAGGGGCCGCCGCCCAACAAAACCGAACACAGCCAACCAAACGACACGGCCGGCGCGCGCGCGCGAGCCGAGATACTCGGTATATCACAGAACAACGACACGGTACACAGTCAGCGGCGGGCGGCCGCGCCGCCGACAGAGCCGGCCCGGGACGGCCGCCGGCGCGGCGCGCAGAAAGACGGGTCGGTCGCCGGCCGGCCGGCGCCGACGGCGGGTCTCGGGCGGGGCGGGGGCGGCCGGGCGCGCGTATCACAGGACGCCGGCGGCGGCGCGCCATCACGACTTGGGCGGCCGCGGCGCTCCGAACGGCGGCGGCCCGGCCGGCCGCTCCTTGCCGCCGCCCAGCGGCACGTTGGCGTATATCTGGTGCGGAAAGTCGGGCAGCTCCGGCGACCTGCCGCGGAGAGGGAGGGGGAGGGGTCAGTGGGCGCGGGGAAACGGGACGGGGAGCGCAGCTGACTGACCACGAATGACACGGCATCACAGAAAATACACGTCTATCGGAGCAGGAACACTTATATTCACACCACCAGCCATTATGATGGAAAACAGTGGTAAGATTTATTCAATCCGAAGTTTTAAAATAAACGGTGCAACGAATTTATCTGGTGAGCTCGCTCCTCTCCAGTCTTTCCCCTGGTTTCGTTCCTCGTGTCTCACCTGGTGAGCTGGCCCCCTCCCGTCTGTCTCTCTCACCTGGTGAGCTGGTCCTCTGAGGCGGCCCGGCTGGTGAGTTCCCTCCCGCCCTCTCCATATCTCCCCCTCTTACCTGGTGAGCTGGCCCCCTCCCGTCTGTCTCTCTCACCCGGTGAGCTGGTTCTCTGAGGCGGCCCGGCTGGTGAGTTCCCTCCCACCCTCTCCCTATCTCCCTGTCTCTCACCTGGTGAGCTGATTCTCTGAGGCGGCCCGGCTGGCCATGTGCCGGTCGGCCGGCGCCGAGAGCGGCGTGGTCGGCACCGGTGACGGACTGGTCGGCAGCGAAACGGTAGAGCGCGAGAGCGCGCGGCCGTCGCGCGGCTCGGCGCCCGGCGCGCCGGCCGCCTCCGTCGAGTAGCGGATGTTGGTGTACTCGCGGCCCATCTTCTGACTCACCTGGCGACGCGGGCAGAGGGGGAGGTTAGTGTTGGACAGGTCGGCACAGGTTAAACGACATCGTAGGTCGGAAATAGACAGGTAGAGATCGGTGTTACAATCACAACTCATACGACAGTACAGGTAGGAATGGGACGTGACGTCTGTACGAACATTACGAGAGTCATGTGGGTCAGACCGGCAGATGGCAAACGAAAGCGTGCCGCAATGTCACACAGTGCGGCGCGGAGGTACATTTCACTTAAAATAGCCATTTTCACCGGACTCCCCATCCAGTCTACGTCCACGAACCCTGCGTCCCAGGTCCCACTGCCGTCCCGTCCCAGCCTGCTGTCCCATTGCCGTCCCGTCCCAGCCTGAAGTCCCAGGACTGACCTGTTCGGCCTGCAGTTTGAGCTGGAGCGTCTCGATGTAGTACTGGACGGCCAGGTAGACGAACTTGTACTGCGCCTCGGTCTGCACCATTCCCGAGCGCTGGGAGCGCACCCGCTGGATCGTACGCTGGATGTCGATCTCCGTGTCCAGACCTGACGAGACGGTGGAGACGGTTAGAGGGGCGAGAGCGGTGGGTGGGCTGGGCTGACGGAGCGAGATACAGCACGGAGTGAGTCAGTCTTTAATTTTTGCCTATGACGACTTTGTTTATCATTGGATAGCAAAGTCCTCCATTTTGTCGTCGAATATTCAGACATCAGCCGTTCATTTTCCTTCGCCTCTGACATAACCTGCCGGTCCCCCATCAGCTACCAAAGAGCCTCAAATAAAGCATCAATCCAACACAATCACCATCCTTTGACTACATTGGACGACTCTCCCTTACCCGATAAACAACACCGGATTAGTTCCAGTCCCCCGTACACTCACCCCCCCCCCCCTACAGGTACCACCCGCCCCAGTACCCACCTTGCCGGTCGATCTGGCTGAGGATCATGTCGATGACGATGAAGGTACCCGTCCGACCGATGCCGGCCGAGCAGTGCACCACGATCGGCCCGGCGTCCGGGATGCTGGCCTGCTGAGAGTTGACGTCATGCAGGAAATTGAGCACGCAGCCCGGGTCGGTGGGCACCCCGTGGTCCGGCCACGCCTGTAGGAGGGAGGGGAAGGTCAGGTTAGGTCAGAGCGGGTCACAAGCAGCCCGGGTCGGTGGGCACGCCTGTAAGCACCGAGGGCGACAAGAAGCACGTCCACGAAGGGAATAAGGGGGAGAATCCACCAAGCGCCGACCACCGTAAGTCACTGAACATGAACATAGAACCGTGAATTACAAGGGCTGCACCTTGCAGTCTCACAGACCTAAAACGGCGACATCTACTGACTGAAAGCCACATGAAATGCTAGAACGGACTGCAGCTGGCACGTCTGTCCTCCCCGCCCCCCTCCCACCCAGCGCGGCGCCTCGCTCCGCTCAGCGGCTCTGTCCAGCGCGGCGGCGTCTCGTGCCCCTGCTCACCCGGAAGTGGAAGTGGTAGATTTTGCGCTCCTCTGGGCAGCCCTTCTTTTTGACGCTGAAGGCGCGCAGCGTGTAGTCGACCAGCGGCGACTCGGACAGGTTGGTGACGGTCACGCTGCCGTATGTGGCCTCCTGCTCCACCTCGGGCCAGTACCGGGCGCACTTACCCTGTGGAACGGACGGGGACAGAGACAGTTAGAGGTGGGCGGCGTACCTACCGCAGGGTCACTCAGACAACCAACGGCAGTCACATGGGGATGGGTAGCGTACGGCAGGAGCAGGCTGCTCGGACCGCGTAAGGCAAACAGTTCTCACGCCAGACTCCATCCACCAGGCACCACTATATAACGCAGCGCCTCGATACATGACATGAAGCAATCACGGAGCTGCATATGACACCCTATAGCTAATGTCACCCCTTCGGCACCCCGACCCCGCCGGACATTCCCACCGCTGACACCGTCCGACACACGCCAGGCGGGCTGGTCCGGCACGCTCCTACCACAAACATCATAACGGCCCGCCCGCCCGGCTCGGCGCGGGGTGACACGGGGAGGCGATCGATCAGAGTCAGAGGTCCCCCGGCGGCGACAGCAGCCGTCAGTTCACACCAGGGCAGCAAACGAGGCGGGCAGAGATAACCCAGTGAGTCTGTGTCAACGATCCGCTCCAGAGCCGCACAACGCGTGTCGTGCTGCTCTGGAGGTTGATCACTGGTCGCCAGGTTACTGTGTTATGTCCGCCTATATCGAGTCCCCAAACCCAATCAACCCCTGACAACCCACGATACAGTTGCAGTCCCACTAGCACCCCCTGGCGCCTCACCAATATTCCCTCTGCGGTCCCTCCCACTGGCAGCCCCGCGGCGTCTACCGACTCACCCGGCTGCGCTCGATCTCCTTGGTGGTCATGACGATGACGCGCGAGTTCTCCTGCCAGACCATCCACCAGAGGTCGGCGATGGTGGTCGGCAGGCAGCCCTGGGTGGCGATGTACGTCTTGCTGGGCGCCTCGCCCGCCAGTGAGTCCTCCTCCGGCTGAGGGACGGAGGGGACCGTCAGAGAGGGGGGTAGAGATCACACCACCGCCTCAACCACCACAGGCCTGCTCCGGCTGTGGGCGGACGGACAGACTGAAGAGGGTGGGTTGAAGTGAGGGTAGGAACGGGGTAGAGACTAGCTTCTGAGAACATGCTATCTTCTCGGAACTTCTCGTTCTCGACACATAAAACGAGCGACATGTGACCAGATGAGCAGGGCGACATTTAACTAGACATCATTGGACCAGATGAGCTAAACGGGCGTAACAACATGTTTGTCGAATCACATGGCTCTCGCCATGGTAACCAGACACACTGACGAGATACAGTCGCCGCTGAGCGCTCTCTGGCGGTCTGCTAGCGCAGTCATTATCAGCTCCGTGCTGATGACAGCCGTCTGTGGCCGCGGCTTTGAAGGCGGGCGCTGGTAAACACCGGTGACGTTAATTAATACGGGGCAGCGGGCCGGGCCCGGCGACTGCCCAGTTACAGTCGGCAGTGCGGGGCAGGGGACACGGCGGTCGCTATCTGGGCGTGATACTGATATGCGGCCGCACCCGGCAGACACGGAAACCGCGCCGCGCCGCCGCAGCAGCAGGGCTCGAGCAGGAGCGGGTTTTACCGCCAGGGGACCGGCCCCTGTGACAGAGCAGTCATCGTTAAAACAGCAGCAGGAACGCCACCCAAACACCGTCCATTTCGGATGGAGCTACCCAAATGTCATCATATCGTAAAGTGCAAGACGTCAGTGCATTCAATCACTCACATATTTTCCTTTACCTCTGCAGCTCGAGAAGCTACTAGCGTTACAGCAGGACTTTCACGACATCGGCCACTTCTCCCGTGATACCACCTATTCCCCTCCCTCCCTCCCTCCCCTCTCTAACCCTGTCCGTACCGTGATGAAGTTGGCGTTGATGTAGTCGGCGCCCGGTCCCAGCGCCTCTCGGTCGCGCAGTATGACGCGCGTGTGGTCAAAAGGCAGGATGTTCTTGTAGCGGTTCTTGTTGCGGCTCTCCGGTCGCTGGCCCTCCTTCCTGCTGTAGAGGTGTTTGCACTCCTGCTGCTGCAGCGACTCGAACTCCTCCCAAAAGCCGGCGTTGTTGCCGTTCGACGGGCCGTGCTCCTTCTGCCGGAGGGGAGGAAGGGGAGTTAGCGAAGGGACGGACTGTGCCCCTGGTCCCGTGGACCACGTGATGCATGATGGGGTGAAGTCAGGGGGGGGGGGGGGGGTATGCAAGGTGCAGTGAGGAAGGGGAAGATACCCAGCGTTCTCTGTTGGAAAGGGTCTGTGGATATTCGAAGGTGTTGGATAATTGGGGTTACCAATGAAGTAATTGGTAGGAACCTGTGGCGGTGTGGCAATCACTACACCGCACCCCACTCTCTTTGAGCAACCGTTTTCTTTCCTGTTTCCCACTCATCCTACCGTGTTCCTTTCGTCATCACATGCTGCTGCTGCTCGCTGTTCGCCCGACACGGCATGTCGTCATGTTGCGGGTACCGCTTTGCGTCAACGCCGTGTGATCCCTGGCCGGGTCGGCGGGCTCGCCGGCTGCAGTGTCGACAAATGTCTGAGGTAGGTGCACCGGTGACTCATCTGCCGCAGCAGGGCGGCGGTTCCGGCCAACAGAGCAGAGTTTTACCCGCGCTCCGGCCGATACGACACCGTTCTGTGGCCGCTCAAACTGACAGAGCAGCGTGCTGTAACAACAGCAGCCGACATGACAGCGCTCTGTCGCCACTGGCTGATCTGACAGTAATACGTGACATGTCCGGTAAGGTAGCGCTCTGTAACTGTCCCAGACGACACGGCGGCGTTCTGTGGCCCCCTCGGCCGACACGCTGCACCCACAGGACAGCCGGCGAGGACAATGGCGCGCCGAGCTCCACACGCTCGTCCTTGGTATAGTCCGGCAGCCGGCCGGTCAGCGCCGCGCCCGCGCCACGGCGGCCGGACCCTGTGCACCGGCGCGCGAGCGGAAAGCCGCGGCGACACGGCTTTCCCTCAGCTGGACGTTAAAAATAGCCGCCGGCGGCCGAGACCGGAGCTGCAGCCGGGCTGCGACGACCCTCCCTCGCAGCCCGGCCGGACCGTCAGAGACCTGATACGGAGGTGGCTTCAGAACACGGAGCCGACCGCCGCCTGTACGTAGAACGGCCGCCGCCGCCCGACCAATGGACGGCCGAGCAGCCATTCAGAGTCCGACGGCCGGCGCGATACTGATGGCCTTCTAAGGAACGCGAGATCAATGTGCGAATGAATGGACAGAGCTCTGGAACTCTGCAGACATAACGAGTGGACGTCACCGAGCCCGAAATAGCCCGAGCTGGACTCATTCAGATATCACAAGTCTGGACTCATTCAGAAATCTCACAGGCTAGAAACACGAGTGTCGCCTAGCGACGGTTCTTGGCGTAGAAACCGTTAAAATGATTCTTGGCGTTCGACGGGATTGTCATCAGACCCGAATCCGATCATCTGCCCTGAATAACTTTGTCGGATATACTGTTCCACAGAAGCCCTAGGTATTTGTCTCGTCTCCCATACCCTGATCTCCCAGATCACGGTCCCTCAGCTCCCCAGCTGCCACTCGCTCGGCGGGCCGATCGCACCTGGAGCTCCTTGACGCGGTTGTCGATGCCGCTGGCGTTGATGCGCGTGGCGTTGAAGGGCATCTTGAGGTGGACCACGGTGCCGGTGGTCTCCACCATCGGGTTCTTTTTGTAGTTGTCCACCAGCTCTGCCAGACTGTCGAACCGCGTCCCGCCACCCACGTCATATTTGCCGTCCTGGGGAAAATGAAGAGGAAGAACGGGTTAGTAAGGCTGGGCTGGAGGGTAGGGGCGGCATGGGGACAGGGGAATTCAGTTGTGCTATGATCGAATATCCGCTGTGCACCCGAGTCTCCAATAGGTGCATGATTCTACGCAGCAGAACATGACTACTGCAGTCCTCTAGCCATACGTACTGCCACAATTATCCCACCTTTCACCTACCGCACACGGTAAGTACCCATTCCGCTCGCCCCTGGTTCCGGGCGGCTCTGCACCCGTCCCCGCTGTGAACACTGCGGCTAATTGGCGAGAGCGGCGCGCCCGTCCCATCCCGCCCGGCGCGTGCCCGCCGTGGGCGCCCCTGACGCCCTGCTCCCACGCCCCGTGGCGTAACGCAGGCGGCAGCCCGGCCCGGCCGGCCCGCGGCTGCTCAGGCCGCAGACAACCACCCGGCAATCGACACAGACCGTCGGCAGAGAGCGCCGTAATCCGCCGGCGGCGGCTGCACATCTGGCTAATTACGCTGTTCATTAGCGTTGGTAATGGATTGGGGCGGCTGTGATTAGATTGTAATCCCTGCGATACACCTGTCGGGGTGTCACACCGCCCCCGCCCGCAGAGACGGTCCCTGTCGGCGTGTGTCGGTGACGGAGGGGCACTCCGCCCGTCCTATCCACGACACTGGGCGGACCTACCAACACCGTCTGCCAGCTCGTGCCGTACCGGGCTTCTACAGGTCAGTGCTGTGGACCACAGTGACTGGGACAAGGGTCGGAGCGGGACCGCAGGAGACGGCACAGCGACAGCGGCCGGTCGGCGAGGGAAGGAGCCGGTGGAGAAGACAGATGATATCATGGGAGGCGAGAACCACAATAAAAAAAAGAAATATGAGAGATAGCACGGACAAAACGTATGGCGGACATAGCAGGCCACACACCATACCAAAGAGATAGTTTAGTGAAATGGCTGCAGTCCAGTAACAAGTATGAGCTGCACGATATAAGCACGAACCTGTCAGCTCTGGCTTTTCATGTAACGAGCAATTAGTGACAAACTCCTGGCACATTAACCTAAATCCTGTTTTGCAGTTTGCAGTGCCACGGCAGTAAGTAAGTGAAATAACGCAATAAGCCCACCGCACAAATGTTGGGACAACAAAGGAAAAGATCACTTGGGAAATTGTTACACAAAGTCAACTTCTATAATCTATATGCAAACATTTGCATCTACTCATCCCAGTTACACCAAAGGCCGTAGTGTGGTACACACTACACACTACACAGGCGTACAGACACCCACGGACACACAGACACACACAGAGTACCGCTGAATTTGACAGAGCAAACGGGCTACAGACACACACACACACACACAGACTAGTACCGCTGAATCTGACGGGGCGGACGGGCTACAGACAGACAGACACACAGAGCTGAAGCTGACAGGGCAGGGCAGCGGACGGGCAGGTGGCGGCCGGCTCAGTGCAATGAGTCAGCAGTGCGAACCCGGTGACATCCGACATTTCATAGACCACCGCGGTCACAACACCGCCCCGGCCGGCGCCACCGCGCCTCTGACACAGCCTCCGGCCGGCTACACTGAGCCCCTAACACAGCCTCCGGCCGGCTACAATGAGTACCTACAGCAGCGGACAGCCGCGCCGAGAGGGTGATTAGCGGACCTTCCTCGAATAGTCAATGCACAGCCTAGTCACGCACCTGCCCATTACCAGTGGCGCTCGCTGTTCAGCCTCCGCCCTCCCACGCCCCCTGCACGGTTCGTCGGAAGGTCATCTCAGGCTCAAAAGAAACGATATATACCATTCGAAAGCTGACGGTGAGCTGAATCCAAAAATGTAATTTTTACCAAAATCGATCGATGGCCTTTTTTGAAAATTGCGTTTTTGTAAAAACTTAATAATCTTTTATTCAACGGGCTGTCCTGGACATTCTTGAAAACATAAACATGTATTTTTGAGTTCCAGTGAAAGCTGAATGCCAAAAGAACAATATTTAGCGAAGCAACATTTCCAAACATTAATATCCGTCTCCCACAGCCGAAAATAAGGCGCAATCACACAGCTCAGTGTCACGATGGACCAAAGTCAACCACACAGAAGCGTGAAATGACCCTTATCGACTCGCAGACCCGGCGCTCTAGGCCCGCCTGACCGGCCACGGAAAGAACGTTCGGCTCTCGTTCTACTAAACAAATGTCATATTTGTCAGTTTAACTGTCCACATCGCTATGAAAGTTATTCAGGATACCTGTGAAGAAAATTCATTGTTCTGTCATCCTCACATCATGCATTAATTTGCATTTGTTCATGTCTACTTTGCTCAATTGAGCTTGGTATCATGCCCATATAAGGAAAATTGGCCGCGCTGAAATGTCAGAGGCTGCACCGGCCTCAGCTCTGGTGGAGTGGGGGTAGCGCCCGGTGGGGCAGGGTAACCTTTGACCGGTCGCACGGTCGAGCAGCTGTCACCAGTACAGCCTCTGACAGTGAAACCCCGCTCACTTCCCCTGCGCGGGCACTGATCGCAGCTGGATGGAACAAAACATGCATAAGAAAAATGTAAATTAAAGCATGTTGTAAATCGAGCAGAACAATGAATTTTCTTCACAGGTATCCTGAATAACTTTCATAGCGATGTGGACAGTTAAACTGACAAATATAACATTTGTTTAGTAGAACGAGAGCCGAACGTTCTTTCCGTGACCGGTCAGGCGGGCCGAGAGCGCCGGGTCTGCGAGTCGATAAGGGTCATTTCACGCTTCTGTGTGGCTGACTTTGGTCCATCGTGACACTGAGCTGTGTGATTGCGCCTTATTTTCGGCTGTGGGAGACGCATATTAACGTTTGGAAATATTGCTTCGCTAAATATTGTTCTTTTGGCGTTCAGCTTTCACTGGAACTCAAAAATACATGTTTATGTTTTCAAGAATGTCCGGGACAGCCCGTTGAATAAAAGATTATTAAGTTTTTACAAAAACGCAATTTTCAAAAAAGGCCATCGATCGATTTTTATAAAAAATACATTTTTGATTCAGCTCACCGTCAGCTTTCGCATGGTATATACCGTTTCTTTTGAGCCTGAGATGACCTTCCGACGAACCGTGCCTGAGCCGTTGACACATGCCCTGACCCGTCAGCGCAGAGTGACGACACGCCGCTCGGTGACCTCGCGACCCGCGACCCGTGCCATCCGACCGGCGGCAGCCAGATAGCTCGCCTACCCCGGTTATCACAGCGATGTGAGCTCTACGCACTGAACACTGAGCTTATGACTGATGTGACAGTGAGCTCATCTGACATCATATCACATATGTGATCCTCACCTGGGTAACACCGTATCATCACGTGATTCATCTCTCACCTGACACCGTATCATCACGTGGGAGGTCCTGTCGTCGATGCGCACGGACAGCACGTAGTCGCCTGGCTTACTGAGCGACTCGCGCACCAGAAAACTGCCGTTCTTGCCCTTCTCGTTCATCAGTTTCTCGGCTTCCCGGCCCGGCAAGTGACCGTGGAACCACCTGAAGATGGGAATACCACAAAACGTCAGACTTTCGACACACTGTAAGGTCGTTTGGGGTGGGTTAAAAGATGCAAGTGAGGGCGCAATACCAGAACATTTGGTAAGGCGACCCAGAACGGCCAATGTGCTAGACACGGTAAACGTGATAAAGAGCTGTCTAAAGTATGTTAGTGAGTAATAAACGTCCCACATTGCAAAAGGCCTCGAGTTGAGCTGGAATGTCATCCACAGTACCGTTGCTTGTTTGGAAACGCTTGCCACCGAAAGGGATTACAACAAGCATAACATCATTTAGCACTAGGTGCTATTCCGTTATTTCCCGTATCCCAGACTAAAGGCCGACAAACAACTCTGTCTCCGCTGACCTGACCCGCGACTTAGTCCCGAGTGACATCGTGTATTCTAACAGCACACCGAAACGGGATGAGACAAGGGGCACGGGAACAGGAACGGGAACGGGGACAGGAACGGATAGGGAACGGGAACAGGAACGGGAGCGGGAACAGGAACGGGAACGGGAACAGGAACAGGAACAGGAACAGGAACAGGAACGGAACGAGAACAGGAACGGAAAAGGAACGGAACGGGAACGGGAACCGGTCCATCTGCGCCGGTCCGGACCGGACCACGGGACCGCTCTGTCCGGTGCGGCTGCTCGGGACAGGCCGGCGGACCGGCGCCGGGACCCTATTTTCGGCCGCTGAAGGCGGGTTATCGGGTCGTCACACGACTTAGCAGCAGTGGTGCGGGCGGGCGGGGCGGATAGCCAGATGATAGTGCTCACCGCGACATAGTGCGGCACCGGCCGCGGTGTGTACGATATCAACGGGCCGACCCCGTCCCCGTCCCAGCTCTCGGGGTGGAGTGGGGTGGGGGTGGGGGCATGATAGGGTGGTCGCGCGGCCGGTACAGCCGACCGAGGGCGGCTGCAGCCCACCGGATAACCGCCGGCGAGCTGCGACAACGAGGAAACGGCGCACCGAGCGGAGACCGACAGCTCGGCCTCTCGGCCTCTCGGCCTCTCGGCCTCTCGGCCTCTCGGCCTCTCGGCCTCTCGGCCTCTCGGCCTCTCGGCCTCTCGGCCTCTCGGCCTCTCGGCCTCTCGGCCTCTCGGCCTCTCGGCCTCTCGGCCTCTCGGCCTCTCGGCCTCTCGGCCTCTCGGCCTCTCGGCCTCGCTCCCTCGCTCCCTCGCTCCCTCGCTCCCTCGCTCCCTCGCTCCCTCGCTCCCTCGCTCCCTCGCTCCCTCGCTCCCTCGCTCCCTCGCTCCCTCGCTCCCTCGCTCCCTCGCTCCCTCGCTCCCTCGCTCCCTCGCTCCCTCGCTCCCTCGCTCCCTCGCTCCCTCGCTCCCTCGCTCCCTCGCTCCCTCGCTCCCTCGCTCCCTCGCTCCCTCGCTCCCTCGCTCCCTCGCTCCCTCGCTCCCTCGCTCCCTCGCTCCCTCGCTCCCTCGCTCCCTCGCTCCTCGCTCCCTCGCTCCCTCGCTCCCTCGCTCCCTCGCTCTCTCGCTCTCTCGCTCTCTCGCTCTCTCGCTCTCGTCGCTCCCTCGCTCCCTCGCTCCCTCGCTCCCTCGCTCCCTCGCTCCCTCGCTCCCTCGCTCCCTCGCTCCCTCGCTCCCTCGCTCCCTCGCTCCCTCGCTCCCTCGCTCCCTCGCCTCGCTCCCTCGCTCCCTCGCTCCCTCGCTCCCTCGCTCCCTCGCTCCCTCGCTCCTCGCTCCCTCGCTCTCTCGCTCTCCTCGCTCTCTCGCTCTCTCGCTCTCTCGCTCTCTCGCTCTCTCGCTCTCTCGCTCTCTCGCTCTCTCGCTCTCTCGCTCTCTCGCTCTCTCGCTCTCTCGCTCTCTCGCTCCCTCGCTCTCTCGCTCTCTCT